CCCCTCAGAGACCTGGGTAGCTTTTCCCAGAGAAAGGCCAGGGTGTCTCCCCCTCAGACTTCTCCCAGGAAAGACCAGGGCATCTCCCCTCATTTAGAGACATAAGTGACCTTTCTCAAACAAAGACCACCGTTTCTCTCTTCAGACCCAGACATGGGTGCTTCCCAGCAGGCTGAGAGACTAGGGCAATATCTCTCAGAAAAAGACAAGGCTGTTTCCCTCAGACAAAGAAACCACAGGATCTCTCTTCAAACAAAGATTTCACTGTCTCCCTCTCTACCCACCCTCCCCTCCCAGCCCAAATCAAGGTGAAATATTACCTGGTAAGAAAAAAATATATTTTCTGTACTTTTGATGCTTCACAAATGAGAGATTTCTCTTGACCTGAGACCAGCAGGAGTCCTAAAATAGCCCTAAGTTTGAATAAACTTGGGAACCCTCCAGTAGCCAACTGTGAATTCTCCACATCAAGGTCAGAGACCAGGAATGACCAAGATGACTCAGAAAAGGCAAAGAAAGCCTCAATATGTTCACAAAATACCTCACTACCCGGAGGTTTAATTGAAGTCAGATTTTTCGTGATTGAGAATATATTCTGAAGAACTTGGAAGCCCACCAAGGGTAAGCCAGTGTTCAAGATCAAGTTAACACTTGCACCAGAGGTCAGAGACAGCACACGGTCTGACTGGCATCACTACAGGTGTCTTTGGGACGAAGCCAGCAAAATCTCCCAATTCCCAGATTTCCATGAGATAATTTTCCCACAGCTGAGCAGCTGATGGCAGAAAGCAACTGGAACAATTTTGAAATCATGGGGCTGCAGAGCATCCATGGATTATTAGCTAAAAGAAACCTTAAGGGTTCAGTGATTTTCAAACTATAATTAGCAACAGAACACTTGTCCCCCAAGGAAATCCTAACTGGAAAGTCAGTATATGCCACAGGCCAAGCAGAAACTGCTGAAACTGAAGCAAGGCGGCAGTTATGATCTGTAACCTCCCCGTGTGGCTTTCCCTTGCCTCCTGGGTGGGGCCTTGGAAAGAATCCAGGGCTCTGGAGAATGTGGCTTAATCTATTGCTTAAGTCCAACACCTGCAGTTTGCAGAGCAGGGAACTCCATCAAAGAGAGCCTCCATGTATGCCAGAAAGAAGGCAGGCTCTTGATGCTTTTGAACCCAACAGACCTAGGTTCAAAAGCCAGCTCTGCTGCCTCCCAGCTGCAAATGTGAGGTTAGGAAATTGTGTAACCTCTGTGGACCTCATTTTCTTCATTGCATGGTAATAAAATACTTCTAATCCTCAACAGTGAGCATTCGAGAAGATGAGGCAGGTGTAAGAAGTTCTCAGCGAATGGCTTTCATGGCTCTAGGCTGCAACAGGCACATAACCAGTTAATGACACAGGTGCGGCTCATCTATCCCAAACCCCACGTGTCCCTCACTCCGCTAACAGATCCTCTGAACTCACTGTCACGCCTCGCCTTCCAGGTGCTGTCTCTTTAGTTGGGGAATTGGCCCCAAACAGAAGAAAACAAAACCTAAGGCACAGGGCAGCAGGAAGAGAAGTGACCAGGCTGAAGTAACTACCTGAAGAAATATTAGCTCCGCCACCAGGAAAGAAACTTGCCAGGGAGGGCCATTTCCAATTTGTTTTTAAGGATCTTCCCTTGGCATTCTCACTAGCAAACCTCTACCTTATCCCAGAATCCCTCAGAGATGGCAAAAATGCTAGGTGTAGCCCTAACAGAATTTCTCCAGAACTCCAACACCAACTACTTTCTGTGATGTCAACTCCTATCAGTGGCATCAGCAAATCCTAACCGTGCCCTAGACTAGGAAACGTCTAGATCCAGCCTTATCCAAACATCACAAATAACAGAGGTCTAGAGTCACCATACCGGAGAAGGCAATGGCACCCCACTCCAGTACTCTGGCCTGGAAAATCCCAGGGACGGAGGAGCCTGGTGGGCTGCAGTCCATGGGCTCGCTAAGAGTCGGACACGACTGAGCGACTTCACTTTCACTTTTTACTTTCATGCATTGGAGAAGGAAATGGCAACCCACTCCAGTTGTCTTGCCTGGAGACTCCCAGGGACGGGGGAGCCTGGTGGGCTGCTGTCTATGGGGTCACACAGAGTCGGACACCACTGAAGTGACTTAGCAGCAGCAGCAGCAGCAGCAGAGTCACCATACACATCTACTACATACTCTAACCTTCTGCAGAGATACTGGGCTGCTTATACTGTCTGCAATTCTGAATGCAGCCAATTTGAAGAAGCCACATTTATAGGTAAACCACTCCACTGAACACACAATAAAATGCTTCATGAACCTGACTAACCCCAAGGCAGATACCTGGGACTGTGTCCCTGGAGACTTCTAAAGAAAATATAATAAACTATAACAATTGGAACGACTTTAAAATTGCTTTCTTCCCACTGTATTGCTTTATGTGCAATAGTTTTAACTGCTCAGCAACCACATTCCACCCAGATGAACCTAATAAAAGTGAATAAGCTGCTGACCCTGACTCCGGTTTGTAGTTTCAAACCATAATTCTATTACAAAGGGCAACAAACTCGGGCTAGAGCACAGCTGTGGCTTTTCAGTCTCTACAGGATGGTTTATCATTGTCAATTAGATATTTAGCTTAAAAAATACAGAATTCCCAATCTCTGTGACTTCTGGGTATGTTTATGTAGATAAGTTATGAATGGAGAAGAGAGGACAAGCCTGCACATTAGGAGGAATTCATTAAGCTACTGGGAAATCAGTGAATATTTTCTTACCCAAGTATTAAGTTTGAAACCAAAAAGAAAACGTAATGTTAAAGCTCCTCTGCTCTTAAATACCAGCCTTTTAAAATACCTGATTGCAAGGGGAAATTTGTGCAACTAGATTTGGAATATAACTACCTTTTCACTATAAATCATGAACTGCAGTGTACCACATACACAGTGCAATTTATCAACAATCTTAAGTAGTGCAAGAAGGACCCTTATCTAAGTGGGAAGGAGTCATTCCAACCCTCCCCCAACTTAGTATCGTATTACTAGATGAAAACATTTCCTTATTTCCAATAATTTATTCCTCATTCATTCCAAGAGATGAAAACATGTTCCTTTATGTATACAGAAGATTTGCCAATTGCTCTCCAATTGGCAATTTCTGGTTTTCCATCAGAATATTCCTCCCTCCCTTTAACATATCTTATTAAAGAAGTACAACTGCTAGCCAGCCAATAGACATTTTCTAGTAGCAATGAACTTAATGTATTATAATTCCAGTTACCAGTAAAATGCTGTTGGATTATCCATTAGGATGGATATAGATAGATGTATACACAATCACATACACACACATATACCATGTGAACTTGAAAATCATCTAAAATCTTAAAAAAATAATTTCAAAAATAGCCTTAATGATGCATTTCTTACTAAGCATAGTTAAGTGAAATACTGGCAAAAAAGATGATTTACTCCTTGCAGTTCAATCATCTCAGGAATTATCAGTTGCCTGTTGGTGCCAGCGGCATAATTCAGAAATTATGATAAAATTTTCTCTGCATTTTGATGCTAATTTAATTTCCTTTTCCTCACTTTAAAAGGAAACCATAATTACCAACCTTTACCCACAATAAATAATTAAGGGCATTCCCATTTCATTTTGTATCACTGTAAGCCAAGGAAACACTGATGAGTTTTAAAATATCACAGGGAATTAGGTGATAACTCATCAGTGCTTTTGAGTACAGACACAAATAATTTACAGTCTGAAACTTGGTATGATAATTTTGATTCACACATGGGAAATCTTATTAACCCATGATGGAATCAAATTATTAAAAGAGGTACATGTATGAGAATTTCACAAACATTTGTAGCCAGGAATGTATGTGCAATAGTAAAATATACACATACAATATAGACACACAGATTAACATTGCTGAAAGACATCTGGATAGATCATAAATGCATTTAGTACATTATATAAACATTACACTCTTTTAAAAAATGAATTTGCAAGCTTCTTTTAATTGATACAGTTTTGATTTAAAGATGCTTTAAAATTTATCCCTTTTTCCTCAAATAAGATTAGGAGCCCACTGCTAACCCTCATCTTCAAACCTCACCAAATAGGAAGGAAAGAAGGAAGCGGGGAAAAGGCTTAATTCCAATAACTGTTATCTCTGAGTAGAATTACATGAAAATATAATTCCTTCACATGCTCAAAAACATTATCTCATGATAGCATTTGTATTTACTTTATCCTGGAACATTAGAAAAAATGGAAGAAACATTTAAGAAACGTAATTTCTGTCCATTTCTGTTTATCACAATGATGAAAAATCTGTCAAATTACACACAAATTGAGTGGACTGGCTTTTATCTCCCTAAGAAATCATATGTTACTTTAGTGGACTAAAGGGGAAAACATAAGTGCAACAGTTAACAAACTATAAAATAATATACAAACACTTCTATTATTAATGGTAATGATTAATGATAATAAGAACAATAATTATAATATTTTCAATTAATGCTGATTATTTTGATCCACACACCCCAAAACCACAGGGTGTGGAAAGTCAACTCCAGGTCTGCTCTGCTTAAGAACTCTGGATAAGGAAAAACATCATCTCCAAAATTCTACCCTATGTAACCCCACAGAAGGCTCACAGAAGCCTCAGCAATTGCTGCTCTCTGAGTGGAGAATCATGCTAACTAATCATTTTTAAAGTTTGGAATTTCTCATTTATTTCAAAACCTTAATGTTCCCCTTTTCCTCAGAATTGACCATACCATTTTAAGCTGTTTTTATTTCACTGCAATAGAGTAATTTAAACTAAAATTTTATAACTTATTCAGTTTCATTCCTCAAGAAAGACTGACACAAAAAGGGATGGACAAAGGAATATGCCTATTCAGTGGGTTCAAAAACACACATTAAATAAAATCATTACTAAAACTTAGTTATTGGAACTAAGTTTGATGTTACCTCTGGTACTCCTAATTTTCGGCATGCTTCCAAAAAGTTTTCCACGTTTCTTCTGCATTTGGCCATGCTAAGTTTAGGCTATAAATGCAACATTCAGAAGTAATTAGTTATTAAGAGGCATAACTGAAATAACAGGTTAAATTTTAAGCTTTCTAAATGGCACAAGTAATACATGTTTATTGGAGAGGAATAATACATAAACAAGTAGAAGACAATAAAAAAATTATCCAGGAACATCCACCTGAACAGCTGTTAATATTTGGATTCTATTTTTCTAGACACTGTGTATGTACATGTACATGTATGTACATGTATAAAAGGTGTGTACACATATAGATATGTGTTTATATGTCGGATTTATGCACATTTGCATACATACATGTGCAAAATTTCTGCACATGTATGTGAATGTATACGTGTGGATACACACACACTATTTTTATGAGATCATACTGTTGTGTAACCTGCTTTAGTTTATTTAAAAGCACACCCTAAACATCACCTTTTTTCATGAGCAAATATATTTCTATATGAAGGGTTGATTCACCAGGCCAATGACTCTCTTTCTCACCAAAGCAACAGGTTTTATTAGAAAATTGCTGATGCCTCAAGGTGAAGAAATTCAGAGGCAGGGTTGGGAGCAGCCTTCCAGGTTAGAATGAGTAGCTTGTGCAAACTCGGGAGTGGACAGTGAAGGCAGAGAAGAGAGGCAGAAGCGGGCTCCACGGCCACAGTGCAGCTGGGTCTGGTCAGTGGGGGCTCCAGATGCTCAGGGAAGAATTTCTAAGAAGTGGACTAAATTTAGAAACATTTCTAAAAAGGAAAACTAAAGAATCCGCCTGCAATGCGGGAGACCTGGGTTTGATCCCTGGGTTGGGAAGATCCCTGAAGCAGGGCATGGCAACCCTCTCCAGTATTCCTGCCTGGAGAATCCCCATGGACAGAGGAGCCTGGTGGACTGCAGTCTATGGGGTCGCAAAGAGTCAGACACGACTGAGCTGACTAAGCACAAAATATTTTACAGTTGTTAAAATACATGGTTACGGGGAGTTTTAATGACTCAGGGAAATACTTAGGTTTTCATAAATTTTAAAAACTACTAAACAGTATATATGTGAAGCTCACAATTCAAAAACAACTTCTATGTTGGAGGAATGCTAGGAGCATAAAAGCCAAGATGTAAATAGTGGTTGTCTTTAGGGAGTGGGATAAGACATTATTTATCTTCCTCCAGCATTTCTCCATTATCTCTTTTTCTCTAATCAGGCAGTATTTCACATAACATTTTCAATTAAAAATTTTTTATTTGAAAAAGATAAAAAGTGGCCACCAAAGAATACAGCATTTTTCCCCTGAGGAATTGACGAAATATACAAATGTGTATAGATACATGATTCATAGTGTCTCTTATGCCTTATAAAACAATAACTGTATATTTAAATTGGAAGCTGAAGAATGATAGTTTCTTTCTTATAATTTGAGGAAAATTACTGAATGAGAATTTGGTACACAGTTCAAACTTTATAGCTGTCTGGACTTGAAAACTTTTGTATATTGGATTACAGGAGAGAATTTACTGCCCAAACTAAGGCAGATAAAGCAGATTTAAGTCAGAAGACAAATTGGTCTGTTTTTCCCCCCGTGTTTTCTGAAGCCAAAATGTGGTCAGTCTTTGGGAAGCAAAAATTATGTTTAACTGTATAGAAAGAAAACTGAGAGTTGAAATGGGATCATCACCTAATTTTTCCTGCTGCCAAGAGAAAAGAAAGTAAGACAAATAGTGCCACTGAGACGCTTTCCTTGAGGGGCCGAGAGTGGGCAGCTTCACATGAGGCTTCCATTGTGACCTTTTATGAACACTTAACTTTCCCAAAGTCATGTGCCTCATACAGATGTGGAATTGGAATCCCAACACTACATTCTTAGCCCCTAAACTCTTCTGCTTCATCTAATAGCAGTAGTGTGGATACAAGTTCTTCTCTACTTGTCCAATGAACCCTGCGTGGGCTTCAAAGACAAGCTTATCTTTGACTCCTCTCTTCTTGATGGTAACATGCCCCATGAAGTACAGGGCAAAAATCCCAGTGCTGGCTTTATCTCCTCAACAGCGAAACAAGGATGTTTTTCACTCACTCCTTCTGATCTTTTCCGTTTCCTTGCTATCTCCAACTGACCCTTGAGCACAGCTAGCAGTCAAGGAATTACTGAATTAATGACCAGCTAACCAACCTCTGGCCTGACAGGTTACTAATGATATTTTATGCAGCACCTACATCTTTTCAAAATGATCCTAAAATCCTCACTAATTATAAAATAATAGATTTCATTAGAAGAGAACCCACCAACCAAAAAAAGTTTTCCAAAAGGACTTCTCACTGCTTAAATAACTGCTTGTGAGGAATGAACCTCTGTCTCTACAGTCTTAAAGCCAGCGAGCAGAGCAGTCATTTCTTTAACATGATTTACTTTATATTTGAAAGTAGTTCATTTTCTCTCATTTACATATTTACGTGAAATATTTTCCCTTTTTATAGTAAAAATGTTGCTTCATTCAGAAATGCTATCTCTGGAATTCTCTGGCAGTCCAGTAGTTAGGGCTCCACACTTCCACTGCAGGGGACACAGGTTCGATCCCTGGTCAGGGAACTAAAAATCCTGCATGCCCTACAGCATGGCCAAAAAAAACCAAAACAAAGAATAGACACGCTATTCCTTTTCTGCTCTTTTGAGTCGTTTGGGGCCCAACAGAGAGGATTTGAACAAGATTCTAGTGATCCCCATCAGTGTCTTTAACCAGCAATACTGTCCCAAAGGAGTTTGTTTTATGTAAGAGTTAGTTTTCCTTAAATGGTGTTAAATGGTGTTACTTACGACTGCTGGTGAAGGGACATGGATGCTTGCGACAGATCGCGGGCGGATGTGGTTGACCAAATGGCAGAGGACAACGCCATCCATGAGGGCAGCCCCCAGGTCTTCGTGCAGGCTGACCTTGAGTCTCATCTCGATGCTCTGAAAAGAGATCAAAAGGAAATCAATTGCTCTCAGGCAACTGAGGGTAAAATACAGTTATGACTTTTATGAACTGGGGTTTAAGTTTCACTATAAAGGATAAGAACACCTGGAAAACAATGACATGATTTAAACCTTTCAAAAGATATTAAATAAAATTCCCTCTGTAGAAAATTAATTCAGTTATGTAAAAAATTTTTAATCAGTTGAATTTTTAAAATAATGGAATCACTTCGAGTTCGAAATTGCCTCAGGCTTAGCAATTAAAATAGAAAACCAGAATGAGTTGACAAATAAAAGCTAAATCGGTGGTGACTGTTTTGCAATGTAAAAAAAAATAGTGAATCAATATGCTGTCCACATGAAACTAAAATGATATTGTAAGTCAACTATATTTTAACAAAAGTAAATAAAATAAGTAAATATAAACAAAAGTCAAATGAAAAACCCAAAGCCAACCCAAACTTATTATTTCGGATAATGTATCTCAGACAGCCTGCAGTGGGCAGAAGAGAGATTAGGGGTGTTTTTTTTGGACTATGCTTTCATTCAAAAAGCCATTTTTCTCCCTTCTTAAAAAAAATTCAAAGTTTTATTTTGAGGTTATTATAAATTCATATGCAGTTATAAGAAGTAATACAGAGAGGTCTCAGGCACCCAGTTTCCTTCTAAGGGAGCAACCTGCAAACGTACACAACTGGGACACTGACATGGATAGAACATGCACCTCACTACAAGGAGCCCTCCTGCTGCCCTTTTGCAGCCACACCCACTTCCTCCCACCGGCAAGCACCTCTTTGTCCCTGCTCTCTTCTCCTCCCCTTCCAGGACTCCCAGGACCAGAATGTAGGTCCCTGAGGCTCTCTGCTCATTTAGTTTCAGTCTGTTTTTTCTCTCTCTGCTGCCCAGATTAGGTAATTCCTCTTGTTCTTTCCGACAGTTCACCGATTCTTTGTGACGCTGTTGAGCCCATCCCCTGGGCTTCTCATTTCAGATAATATATTTCCCAGTTCTAAATTTCCATTGGTCCTTCTTCATGTCTTCTGTTTGTTTGCTAACATTATCTATTCCTCTGCCGAGGCATTCAATTTTTTCCCTTTGTTCCAACCATGTTCATCACTACTTGTGGAAGAACCTTCACGGTGAGCTCCATACAGTCTTTGTCGGATAATTCTAACATCCCTGCCGTCACAGTGCTGTCAGCTGTTGATCACCTTTCCACATTCATTTTGGTTCTTGGTGTCGGGGAATGTTTGACGGGAGGATTCCTACATGCTGTCTCTCCTGAGTCCTTTGTCCCTCTTCAAGCGGAACAGCACGCTGCTCCCAGGGACTGAGGTCACTGTGTGAGGCAGGCCTGGGTCTCCTGTAGTAAACATTCTCTTTAGGACAAAACTGCTTAGTCTCCTTCCCCTTTCTTGAGATATGGATTGTGTCCTGACCTTGTGACTAACATTACCCCTTGTTCCCTTGGTAACGGTTGCTGTACGTTTGGTTTTCTGATCTCTATCATTCCCGAAAGAAGTTTCTTGTACCACAGCCTATATATACTCATAGAAAAATCATTAAAGCACCTTTGCTCCATCAGAGCTTAGGTCCCCGGGTCTTTTTTTGTCTCTCTCTCTCTCTTTCTCTGTTTTACTTTCTTATCGTCGACTCCGTACCACCAGGTTCCAGTCCATTAAAGGACCCCAACATCTTGGGACAATGAGTGATTTTTTTTTTTCTGGTTGAAAACTGGACATTTCTGGTATCACGTTATGAGACTTTGGATCCTATTTAAACTTTCTCTTTTGGCTACCTATTTTGGACACTGCTCTGGCAGGGAATGGGAAGGCACTACCTGGCTACTGCTGCTGCTAAGTCACTTCAGTCATGTCCGACTCTGTGCGACCCCATAGACGGCAGCCCATCAGGCTCCCCCATCCCTGGGATTCTCCAGGCAAGAACACTGGAGTGGGTTGCCATTTCCTTCTCCAGTGCATGAAAGTGAAAAGGGAAAGTGAAGCCACTCAGTCGTGTCCAATTCTTCACGACCCCATGGACTGCAGCCTACCAGGCTCCTCCGTCCATGGGATTTTCCAGGCAAGAGTACTGGAGTGGAGTGCCATTGCCTTCTCCTACTGCTGTGTAAATGCAGATTGCCACTTGGGGTCAGTTGACTGGGACTGGGATAGAAATCCAGGCTCCCCATGTATAGCTTCCACTGACGCTGTGGGAGGGGAGGGGATTGTTTTTAGGTGGTAGGGATGACATTCCTGGCTCCCAACTTGGCCTTCTCTGGTATCATCCCAACAGAGGTGAAAGTCAGCTACCTATTCCATCTTTGCAGACATGGGTAGCACTGGGCCACAGGTTTTCTGTAGCTGGAGTAGAGCATTTATTGTCTAAAAGTTTTCTGTCTCCCTAGGCTGTTCTTCTTCTGGTCCTCTGAGTAAAGTAAGCAAGCTTTTGTTGGGACTTTAAAAAAAAAAAAAACTGTTCCCATGAGCATTTCCAGTTTCCAGCTACTTCAGCTCCAAGTCTGAGGAAGATGAAGCAAAAACGAAAACCCACTGGACTCACCACTGAGTCATTCCTAGTCCCAAGGAGCCCAGCTGGTCTGAATTATTCTCTCCACCTTTTAGAGTGCTCTTATGCTTATTTTATATAGAATGGCCAAGGGTTTTAGTTGTATTTAGTGAAAGGAATGGGGAAAAGTACATCTATTCCATCTCCTCAAAAGCAGGAAAATCAATTTTTTAAACCTCAAATACAAATTTCTGATTTACAGCAAAGCTCCTCATAATTGGGTAACACTGTGAGAAAAGATGACTTAATTTGGAGATTTGCAATAAGTGAAGCACTTGAAAATCAGTGCATGTAATAGTGTTGCATAATTCTCTTTCAGAACTGTCCTGTGTCTAGACACCTCATTTTTTTTCTAAGCTTGATTTCAGTCTCTAATTAAATTAAAACATAAGCTATCAATATGACCCAGGCTTTAAGATGAAATTACATCACTCTTTGAGAGGCTTGTCTCAGCTTCTCATCTTATTTTTACATATCTCTGAAAGTTCGCCTCATTTTACAGCGAACATCCAAGTTTACAGCACATCTAAATACTCGAGGCAAATGACAGAGGTATGACTTGCCCAACGTGACTGTTGAGTCAACCACAGTGGCTTAAAGTGGTGGTGAGGAGTTTCTGGGTTTTTATCTCTTTCCTCCCAACTACCTGCTATAAATATACTTTATATAACTGTATATAAAGTATCATCTACAACAAAAAACGATTCTGACCTACCTTAAATTCAGCTTTAATTTTACTAATAGAATTCACTGCTCATGTGTAAAATTCACTGTTATTTGAAGGTGTATATTTGTTTCCTTCTTACTTATTCTCTCTTCTCAATAGACTATAGGCTTCATGAAAGCAGAGACCTTTTTGTTCTTTTCTCTCTCCATCACCTAGACTTTATGACCTGGCACAGAGCAGCAGTCAATGACCATCTGCTAGTGAAAGAAGATATAGTATAAAATCCACCTCTTCAAGAAGCTTCCTATATTCTTCTAGCTAATGGCTATGGTACTTCTCTTTGAATATAAAAGAACTTGTGTGGTAATTCATGATATGCTGCCTTTAATAACTAATACCAGTGAGTTCTTTGGTAACTGATCCTTGTCCTGCCGTTTGACCTTCCACATACTTATGTGAGACCCTCCTAACTAGACACAAAGACCATGAGGGTAGCCAAATATATACATATACACAGTTGCCACTAGGAGCTGTGCTGGGAGTAGAAATACAACATGGGATAAGATAGCCATGGTTCCTGCCAGCACCAGGCTTAAAATCTCCCCTGGCACCCAGGACAAGACTTCACTCTTGGTAGGAACTCAAATGGTTTGCCTACTAAATGACATTCGAAAATTCTGGCTAGTAGGGATAACTATAAACATCTTTAAATTCATGTAATCTTATTAAATAAATTAATAACTGCATTTTTTAAAGTTTTAACTTTTATACATAGGTATTAAGTATTTCTACTTATATTATCTCATAGATTCCTCACAAAATCCCACGAAGGTAGATGGGAGCTACTGCTCTAATATATGAAAAAACTCAAATTTAGAGATGTTAAGTGACTTGCCCAGTAGCAGACAGTCAGTAGGCGAGCTGCCTAGATTTGAAACGAGGTCTGTTTGAAGTGTTTCAAAATCTACTTTTTAAAAATAGAGAATGCTACTTTAATGCTGGAAATTATTATTCAGTAATACAGTGTTTCCCGGTACCTCTCGGAGCTGTTCCACCAGTTCTTTTTCTTCTCTCATCTGTTCCATTTTCCTCCGAATCGTAAACTGTGGGTCTATAGATTCCAAATTTCTCTGCGGTCTTAGAAACACTAGAAGAGAAAGGGGGAAAAGCCTTTATGGAGTGTCTAGTACAGACTGCCATATCGGGCTGCTCATGTTTGAATCAAATAGTTTATTTATCCCAAATAATTCATTCACCACTCACAAAAACAGGAAATTCTGACTTCACATGAAAAGCTTGATTCAAATATTCTAGAGAAGATTATGTTTTCAATTATTCTGCATTGTGTGGACGAACAATCAGCTGAATCCAGGAAAGGGCTTGGTCATCCTTGGTATTATTCCAGACCCCTCCTCTAATTTTTCCACTGCTTCCATTCCAAGATTTCATCTACACTCCAGGTTTCACAATCCTTTCATTAAACTTGAATACTCTGCTTCAAGTAATAAGACAGAATTGCTTTACATGTTATAAACAAGCACAGGTTAATGATTTTGCTGGCTGAGGTTTTTTGCATCAGCCTGGATTAAGAACTAAGTGATGATACACACTATCCACTCCCAAACGTTATCTATCTGAGTGTGGAGGGGAAATTCTGGCTTCTATCATGTCACTGAAAGTGCATCCCTAAGTCAGCTCTTCAGAGATGACCGTAGATTCCTTTTAGAAAAGCTGTCAAGGTGGGAGGTGGTTTTAAGAGATCATCTTTGCCTGCAGGTCCTTAAAATTACAACCTTCCAGGAATAGCAACTCACAGTGGCAACTCTGGAAGGAGTTAAGTCTCTGACTGCAGACAAAATGAATGCTTTCAAACTTTGAAGGATAACATCTCTTAAAGACTATCAAGAAAGCAACCAATATTCTACATATGGGCAGTGATTCTAGCAATTTATATTAGGATACAAAGCACAGGGCAGATTTAAACTTGAATCTTTCTCTTCCTTTAGATTCTTACTAAGACTATCAACTTTCCATGCACCCTAGAGGGAGCAAAGTGTGGTTAAGAGCTGTCATTGGTTCTCCGTGTCCCATAGATTTTCAGATTGGGAGAGGTGGAGATGGGAGGATGGGGAGCAGGGCTTCAGAAAATCTGGGCAGAGAACTCCAGTTTTAAAAATCAATACACAAAGAAGGCTGCACCAACATACTGTAATTCCAGTTGCTTCAATCACCATATCTTCAATAATATAGAATAAGAAGATTATGCAATGTTTATTCTATTCTAACATTTTCTATGAGCCACTTTAAAAGCTAATTCAATTTATTTATTGTTAAATATGGTTTACAAATATACTTTGAATTAAAAACTGGGGTCCACCATATAATCAATTATCCTACATTCATACAACTATGTCATTTTAATCCTAATTTGTATCTTTGAATCAAAACACCTTAATGAATGTCTTGCACTATACTTTTCACATTTAGGTATTTTCTTTCTAAATCAGTTCTAGGATATTTGAATCAGCATTCTGGTGCTCTACAGAGGACCAGAAAGTTGACACATCTTAAGAAATCCTTGACTTACGGAAGTTAATGGAGCAACAGGATGACTACTGTACATAAAACACCTTCTGGAACTTCAAAGAGAAGTCAGCCTGAGGCCTGGGCTTTTGTCTCAAGCCCCCTAAGGAAGTCACAGGTGGAAAGAGCCAAAGTCTTGTTACCAAGACCCACAAAAACCAAACCCCACATGAAGTGAGACCAATTGTTTCAAAAATAAAGGCAAGGCAGGCCGAGGAAGCAGGGTAGACCAACCAGCAGGGAGAGATGAGATAAAGTTGCCTTTGCATCATAGGAAGCCCAGCCAAAAAATATACCCACTTAAACATAGTGATCAGAAGAGAGATACATTACAATGGAAAGTCCAGAAAAAATCCACACCCTCAAAGAAAAGAAATCAACCAAATTTACCAAAAAAGTCAAGGAATATGGACTAAGTTGAGTAATACACAAACTGGTCCGCAAGGGGGAGCCGCAGCTCCGTTTAAACAAATCCGATGTTTTCTTTGGAGGTTTTATTTTCCTTCGGCTTTTTTTCTGGGGGCAATCTTATCTCATACTGCATGTTTAATATTTCCAATATGTTTTTACTGGCAGACTTCATTCTGAATACGAAGTTATCAGGAAGTTAAATTAACTGTGAGCTTTTGGTTAACAGCACACTCTTCAAGTATCTATGCCCTGTTAGAGCCCTATGTGAGATAACAAGATAACGCAATGGGGTCTGGGTTTTAAATACCTGGTATTGCTTTTCATCTTAAATGCCCATACATCTCAAAAAATACAAAATGCATGCTTGGGTATTTGCTTTATGAATATAAGCAGTCAAAAAATGTTAAAACATATGTGAACTGTTATTTTTAAAATGTGAGTATTCCATTTATATGAAATTAAAAATAAGTGAAAGTATTCTATCAAAAAAAATATGAACACTTCAAATGTATATAAAATTATTGGAAACTGGACTACTACTAGTTTTCTAAATAGATTAATTATTGTAGAATATATGAGAATTTAAAATGAATTACTTAGACTGATAATAAATCTACAGAGCACATAAGTTTGTTGTGACAGAATAACTTTAATAGGATCATTATGGTAGCTCTGATTATACTATCTACAAGTGCTCGCTTTGGCAGCACATATACTATACTATCTACAATTTTTTTTTCTTTTCAAGTCATATTTAAATAATAAATACAGTGACAAGTTTGGTCAAAGCTTCAGGAAATTGGTCTATGGAGGAATTATTCTAGCTTTCCTTAATTTTCTATCACTACATTTAAGAACTCCCCTACTTAATTCAGGGGAATAAAAGTTAACTTGAATAACAGTTAACGCCCTGTTATAGGAAATATTTTTCAAAGCAAATGCCACACTGATTAATGTAAATAAGAAGGAAAAAAAGCTGGGACAAGAGAGCAGAGGGAGGGTGTATATGAGTGAGTGAGTGTGTGTGTTTGTGTGTGTGTGTGCTCAGCTATATTCGACTCTTTTCGACCCCATGGACTGTAGACCACCAGGCTCCTCTGTCCATGGGATTCTCCAGGCAAGAATCCCGGAGTAACTTGCCATTTCCCCCTCCAGGGGATCCCCCCTGACCAGGGATAGAACCGTGTCTCCTGGGGCTCCTGTATTGGCAGGCAGATTCTTGACCACTGAACCACCCGGGAAGCCCGTGTGTACCCACATGTGTATATGCCTAAGGGGCAGGAAAAGGCAAGGAAATAGGAGATTTAAGATGCAGGAAGAAAATGAGTCCTGCTTCGCTGTTTAGTTACTATATATCAAACAACATTCAAAGGATGAAAAGGATGGTTTGCTCATACTTGCAGTTTTGCTCATACTCATACCTACAGAGACAAATTACTAAGCAAAAATTCTGCAGGGAATGATGAATATGCTCATGCAGAATATCAAATTCATTCTACAGGTACAGGTCAAATTCTACTATTTTCCCCTTATCTCTACTTTCTCCTTCACTCTCTTCATCATCCTCATTCCTGACCTGGGAATGGTCTGTCAGTTATGAATGCACAACATTCATTATCTGTGCCTCATGCCATCACGTTTTGTCTCACAGTATAGATCTGCTTTTCTCCATAGGACTCTCTAATACAGAGTTTAGTCTGTTTCCAATTTAAACCTCTACTCCGTCCAAGAAAGCAGCTTGTTCGATGAATAAACAAACAAAAAAAAGTGTTTCAAATACTCCCTCAGTCAAAGATCAGACAATCTGGGACTTCTCTGGTGGTCCAGCGACTGAGACTTCCCCTTCCTATGCAAGGGGAAAGGGTTCGATCCCTGGTTGAGGAGCTAGGATCCCACATGCCTCACGGTCAAAAAAAAAAGAAACATAAACAACACAACCAGTATTGTAGCAAATTCAAAAAAGACTTTAAAAAATGGTCCACATCAAAACATCTTAAAAAACAAACAAGCAAGAAAACAGATATCAGTCTATCTGGAGAGTACCTTGGCAGAGATTATCCTACCCTGATATAAGCAGTCACCTGAAAAATCTCCTAAAGCTTAGTTTCCAGGTTTGAAAGCCTTAGACTGCAAAATAAAGAGTTCCACAAAGGCAGAGATTTAGCCTGTCTTTTTCAGAGCTGTGTCCACAGTAAAGTGCATCATGCCTAACAAACAGTAGGCACTCAATAGATATTGGAACTTCCCTGGTAACTCAGCTGGTAACTCACCTGCAATGCAGGAGACCCTGGTTCGATACCTGGGTCAGGAAGAGACCCTGGAGAAGGGCAGGCTACCCACTCCAGTATTCTTGGGCTTCCCTGGTGGCCCAGGCAGTAAAGAACCCCCCTGCAATGTGGGAGGCCTGGGTTCGATATCTGGGTTGGGAAGATGCCCTGAAGAAGGGATCGGCTACCCACTCCAGCATTCTTGCCTGGAGAATTCCATGGGCAGAGGAGCCTGGCAAGCTATAGTCCATGGGGTCGCAAAGAGTTGGACACGACTGAGCAACTTTCAACAGATATTTAAGGATGTGCACAAGAAACTAATTTTTTTAATGTTATAAAAGTATCTTTCAGTTAAGCAAAGAAAGCCCACTCCTCTAAAAATTCCCTGAAATGCTATTTATTACAAGAAAAGCATTTTACATAGAAATTATTAGTGGATATTATTAACCTTTATTATCTAAATTTAACTCCAGATTTCTTCTCTGTGGACACATGAGGTTTGGAATTCAGCTCTCCACTTCCCTTTGGAAACTAAAAAACCTGGACAGAGTGTGATGTTAAAGACATACCAATTCAAGGGCAGCAATAGGATGGCTTTGAAAAAGTATCATGAGCTGTAGATCTAGTTAATGTGAATCAGAAATCTGATTAATACATTCATTTATTCCCTCTGGTGCCTAAAAATGAATTAGATAAATTCTCTGCCCTCAGAAGGCTCAAATTTCCTCTCTATTGTCTTGGGTAGTTTATTTAACCCAGGGGTTTTTACCTGCTTAAAGAGAACAACAAATCAGCAAAATAATCAGTGCGAAGACTCCATGGTACACCAAATAAATTAGCGTCTCTGAGTGTAGGGCACAGGCAGCCATTGTTTGAAAAATGCCCAGGTGATTCTAATATAAAGCCAGGATTGAGAACCACTGAAGCAACCCCTCCCAACTTCAGTTTCTTCATTTTTGTAACGGGGAAAATAATACCTAAGTGTAAGATTATGGTAAAAACAATTCCAGAAAATGTCTGAAAACTGGCCCAAGACAGGTATTTCCATCCATTCATTCACTTTCCAGTGATAGTTTAAAGATCAATTTTAAGTATAAATTAGCACCCACCAATTTGTTGAAAATGAAAAAGAGAAAATACTTCAAAGGAAGGTAGGAACAATTTTAATTTCAAAATGAAGGGGAAAGGAAAGATAGCGGTAGAGTAGTAAGAGGGCCCAAGAGAAGGAGCAGAAGTGAAGTTTTCACGTTAAGAACAACTTGAAGTGGAGCTGCCCCCTCCAGCCCCAGGGGCCGGAAAGACATAGAGACACACGTCCACATCCTTCTCCATCCACTTTAGGAGGCAGGACTTTGAGGATTGTAGAAGTTCAAACTCCCGAGGACTTCCTAGCCACTTTGTCATTTTTATTTCTTTGAAGAATGAGTTTAGGGAAGATATGGGAATTTGAAATGACATATATTTGAAACAATTTATTATTTCAAATGTGTTTCTTTAAATAATTTTATTTAAACATTGTCATTTTAAAAAGTGGGAATTTTAATACAAAGCATAACAGTGAACAAGGCATAAACTTGCCAACTTTACCAAAAGTAATTAATAAAAATCATAAATGAAAGGCAAGTTGCATTATGCTTGGTAGAGTGGGAATATAATGCCATTTATTTTCACGGGTTGAGATAACCACAGATATTGGGCTATGGAGCAAATATGAGGAAACAAAACTGATGGGGTAATCAGCTTTGAGAATGCCACAAGGAGCCACTGAATGGGATCTACTGTTTCAGAGTAACCAGGAAGAACAGCATAAAAGTAGGCTATTTCCCTCTTCCAACTTTAGCTCACATACTTGGGGATACATACAGTGTTTCTTCATTTATTAAAAAAACACTTACAAAACAGAAAGAGAATGTGAATGTATGGAAAAAACCGCCACAATATTATAAAGAAATTAGCCTCCAATTAAAATTTTTAAAGAAGAGAGAAAGAGACTCACAGACTTAGAAAAATGAACTGATGGTTGCTGGTGGAGGGGAAGGAATAGTTAGGGAGTTTGGGAAGGTCATGTACACACTGTTATATTCAAAATGGGTAACCAACAAGGACCTACTGTATAGTGCATGGAACTCCAGTCAATGTTGGGCGGCACCTGGATGGGAGCAGGGTTTAGGGGAGAGTGCATACGTGTATATGCATGGCTGAGCCCCGCTGTTCACCCGAAACTACCATAACGTTGTTAATTGGCTATATGCCAACACAAGATAAAAAGTTTAAAATTTGAAAAAAATTTAAAATGCATTGGAAAATGTATTCAAATCAGAAGGCAACATTTAGCTCAAAGAGAATGAAGATTTTATTTGAAAGGTCAGATTTGGGAACCTATACAAATATTTGAAAAGACTTCTGCTGCCAGAAAATTATCAGATAATTAACAGAAAATTATCCCTTCCCTAGGGCATACTGTAGACAAATTGCAAAAAGGGGAAAATAACAAGTACCCAATGCCTGATCCAGGTAGATTAATACTGAAAACAATCCCTTTGTTATTTTGTGTGCGTGCACGTGTGTGTGTCTGTGTGTGTGTGCAGTACACTATAATAGCCACATGTGAATCCCTAGAATTTTCACTCATAGAAAAAATATCAGAGAAGTATTACATGGTTATTTTATTTTCAGGAAGATTTTGACCATGATTATTTTCTATGGAAATCTTAAGACTTTATCTGGCTTAGTATCTTGCAAAAAGAATCCTCAATAAACAGCTGTAAATGTGAAGGTAGGCTGGTGGAGAGGAGACTGGAGCCTTGGGCATGGCCCCAGCTCCCCCTCTATCTAGCAGGGTGAGCCAGGCAGGTCACCTCACCTTTCTCGTTTTAGTTGGTTCATTTATAAAGACAGAAATTTTACTGCTATGTCTAAATCTTACCCAGCTTTAGAAAGTCTTTTTCAGATATCATTCCTAAGGAAATACCAAATCACACATAAATCTTTCATTCTAGGCTTTATTTCCTTTAAACATCATCAGATCCATAAATAGCCATGCTTTCTGAGAAATGAAAATGATTCTCTCCCCTTTAAGTAGAGGAATAGTTTATCAAGAAAGTTTCCATTTAGCCTTCCTCAATTTCCAGAATTTAAAGTGGGGTGATATAAGAAGGAACTTTGGTTTCCTTGTTGTTGTTGCTTAATCACACTTGCTTTTAGTTTGAAATTTTAGAAATCTATGAAATAAAATTCCGTTTGTAATTAACCTGACAAAATATACATTATCCTTCTATGTAATGAAGTCTGAAAAAGCATTTTTTGGTTGAATTTTGACCAGAAATCACAACAAATGTTTTACATATATGGTTTCTAGTCATTACATATAACATATTGATACTTAGATTAAAAAAATAACTTATCAGAAAATATATCTTCTTGTGTTTGCACTGTGGTTTTACCCCACATGTCACTTTTCTTCCCTATAAATCATACTATTTCATTTAACATTACTTTTGATTACTTTGTATCTTGGAGTAAAATGCCTAAGATCTGAACTAACACACCAATATGGAGATTGAGATATCTGTAGTAAGTATCTCTAAATAACTATATGTATTTTATTTTCATCTTTTAGACTACTTTAGATATATAGTGACATGAGATCAAACAATATCCACGTTAATCCTAGCTAGGTGTCCTCAATTTTTTTTGCATATTTGATTCTCAAGCCAAGTTACCATTCTTGAATATTTGTTGTTGTTTAGTCGCTAAGTCATGTCCAACTCTTTTGCAACCCCATGGACTGCAACATGCCAGGGTCCTCTGTCCATGGGATTTCCCAGGCAAGAATACTGGAGTGCACTGTCAATTCCTTTTTCAGGAGATCTTCCGGGCCCAGGGATAGACCCCAGATCTCCTGCATTGGCAGGTGGATTCTTTATGACTGAGGCACCAGGGGAGCCCTCTTGACTATCATATAGATGAAAGGGCTGAAGTTATCAAAAGTCAAAATGTGCAAAGAATTTGCAAAGAAAAAAAAAAAGCAAGTGATTTCTCTTCATTTTTAGAAATTCCTTACTTCTAACCATTCTCAGTGCACTCCTTTCAGATCAGTCACAGTATATCTTAATTACTTTAAAAATCTCATTATCAAATGCCTGGATAATAAAAGATGAAACTCCAAAAGCATTAGTTCAGAAGAAATTATCCAAATGTACAAAAACACAAATTTCTATAAACAAGCAAACACAGCAAAAAAAAAAAAAAACCAAGCAGAAAGAATAGAGAAGAAATTATTGTACAGTCCTTCCAAAATTCAGAATGTTCAAGATAATTAAACATAGTTTAACAAACTGCCAGAGAACAATGCACATGCATTTTTCTGGACTTTCCAGGTTTCCTATTCTCTCTTAAGTCAGGCATGCAGGAGAACACATTCTATCTTCAGCTGCACAGAAATGAATGTTCAGTATTCATTCACTGGCTTATTAACGAGCACATTGAAGAACAGGTACAAAGCCACCTACCATCGTCACTGTCTCCTGCAGAGGGAACACAGTAGCTAGAGTCGTCCCATGTTTGTGCCTGCGTAAGTTTGTTGAGGGAGATAGGAGGAAGAATGAGGGCTGGGTCTGCAGGAGAGCGAGAGCGCCAGTCCACGTACGGTTGCACAAGGACCAGGAAAAACCAAAAGGGCGGCAGCATTTCACAAATGGCATAAGGAGTGTATGGAAATGAAGCGAATTTCATATCATGGGATTTAATTTCAAAGGTACAATATAGCAGAAGAATGAAAGATGGCGCATGGAATAAAAAGAATGATAAAAAACTGAGTGTTAGTACTTATCAATCATATACTTTGCATGCAGTTAATATCATTCATCGTTAACAGTTCTCAAGCCCACAGACTTAAGAGCACTAATGAATCAGGTCCGCGGAAAGAAGGGGTCCCCATAGATTATGCAGATAAAAAGCAAAAGCCTTACCAGATACCTTTTCCAAAGACCTTCTAAATAACAATTTTAGCAAATATGACTCACCATAAAAGCTGGCTATGCAAAGTTTAATATGTGTAAATATGTCTATCATTTACAAATAAAGCTATTATAGACTCAGCATTTACAGTTGGTGAATTTTTTTTTTCCCAAGGCAATGTAAAATTTCTCTTTAAAGACATCTATAATGATAGCTGAATCTAGTCAACTCTGCTCAACCCTTGAACCATAGACATATCTCTCAATATTTTCTTAGATATTGATCAGTATAAAGCCAATTTTGGACACTAGTTGAGTCTCTTTAACAACAAACCTAATTAGCCAATAGATATCAACCAGTTCAAAGCACTTTTAAGTTGGTCATTTATGAAATAACATCTCTTTTGGGGGCACTAACTATTCATATAGTAGTTTTTGATATTTAGGAAATACCTACACAATTTTTATTCAATCTTAAGGCATGGCTGGTAAAATACATGGACATGGTTGTAGGAATGACTACTGGGTATATATACATTTGTCTTTCCTTGGAGGAAAACATAGAAAAAAATTTCTTTTGAAAAAAACTACCAGCCAACTTAAAGAATCTAAGTTTCTATTCCAACTTGCTGATTTGAGCAGTCTGTTTTTATTTATAACACAGAAATCACATGAATTTGTATACTTAATTTTAACATAAAAATCATTTTTTAAAGATCCAAAGCTACTTAATCAAAAAGAATTTCTCTTTTTTAGTCATATGATCTTCAATTAAGATTACTATATTTTTTTTCCAGAAAATGTGAAAAATACATCCTGTAATATTTTAAACTTAATAAATAAAAATTTAAACATTCCCAATAGATGATGCTAGTTTCATAAAGTTCCAACATGCCATTTGATGTTCCTGAAGAAAAATCAGTATTATTTACAACAAACTCCACAAAGCTTTCAACAGCCAGCACAATTTCCACACTGGTTAGTCAGCATTATAGAGAGGTTGGAAGCTAGGAAAGGAAATTATCTTTGTTTCCTGCTATTCAAAATGAATATTTCACTTAGATTTCACCACTACAAAGAATCAGAAATGGTTCAACAGTATAGGCACAAAGTTGATAAGCTGAATTTGGACCCCATAAAAAGAACTGGAAAAGTCATGGAGACAATTTTACGACTAAGCTACAAAGATGCACATTCAAAAGAATATTATTCTGTGGAGATTCATTCAACTTTTGATTTGCTCTTTTAAAATTGTCTAAAACTGCCTATAAGGGACAGGAGAAAGCCTAGCCAAATATGAGGTCCTCGGTGTGCAGAGAACATTCCTGGCAGATCACCACTCAAGGCATGGGTGCCCGTATTCCTCCCAGCACAACCTGAGACCTTGCAAATTGAAGCCCAGCCCATATCTGGCTGCATACACTCAGGTCTGTAAATGGCGAGGCCAGTCATTTGAGTCCAATTTCAAGGACAGTTCGGCTCTCCATAAAACGCCTCCTAAGCCCCACCACACACCCAAGCATGTTCTCAAATAGCCTCGTCTTATGGTCCATTCAAAATGCCAGAAAACCATTATACCTGGCCACACATTACCCATCAACCAACTTCCTCAAAAAATGAAAAAACATTCCTTTATAAAAGAATTATCTTTTTTTTCCTACAGGTAAAAAATTATACATATGTATATCTGCAACTGCTGCCAAAATGCTTTACTAATAAACCCAAGAATATTTAAGTTCTTTACTACCTTTTGCTGAAAGCATCTGAGTGCCTTCTTAGCACTTAACTGAAAAGCACTGGTACAGAATATATGCAAAAGACCTAAGAATCAAAAATACTAAAACAAAGAAGCACCTAAAAGAAGGTAGACAGTGCAAGAACTTTAAATAGGAGACATCAGAAGAACCAAATTTTTCTATACATACTCCTTTTTAAAATCAGTATTTATTTTGCCCATTGCTATAATTTACATTTGTGAATGTACCAGTAATAAGTTAAAATAAAGTAGGTAATATAAACAGAAAAGGTCTTTAATATCTCTCCTGACCACTCATGTGAGTCTTGGAATGACTGCCTGTCACAGGAGTAAACATACAGACCTTACCAAGGTCGAGAGAGCAAATGAGGGGTGTCTCACAAAGAGAGTCACCATCGTTAACTCAGCAAGGTACCAGCAACCACCGAGGCCAAGGGGTGGCCATTTTATCCACAAAGCATTTCTTACCACTTACACGCCCCAACAGTTTTCTCTCTTTGCTCTGATTCAAAAGAAGGTAAGATGATCTGTTACTGACAACACAGCCTTAAGAGGAGATACACTGACACGGAGCCTGGAAATCTCCCTGCCCAAGCTGTAGCGAGGTTCTGATGCCAGGATTCAAACTCACCAGCACTGACAAGGCTGCTCCCACTATAACATGGGCACGCAAAAGGCTAAAGAGAAACTCCGGAGTTGTTTCACATGGGCAAGAACGCTGAGGTTTTCATTTACCTGATCGAGGTTTCAGGCCAAACAGAGCTGTGCTGGTGCTGCTCGGAGAGATGGCGGGGGAGTTCTCTCTCATCTGTGGCGTTAGAAGGAAAGGACACTTCTTAAAGACCTGTGGCAGAACTATGCATGCTTCTCCAGGACCAAGGACCGTAACAAAACCACGACCTCCTGGCACTGGCTGCTGTGAGGAAGTCCTGACTAAAAAATATGATAATGGACGCATCTTCACATTGCAAATTCTTGTGGTAGAATCGACAGAATGTTATTTGGGGGGAGATTGGTTCAGTGTTTATATGCTCATTATAAAAGAGTTCATAATCGTGTGATACTGGTAATCCTTTTCTGCTCCAGAATAGATGTGTACATTCACGTGCAGGCATGCACATGCACGTGTGTGCACACACGCGCACACACACACACACACACACACATCTCACACATGGCACATCTGATAAAGAATCTCATAACACAATGAGATGAGGAAATAGATGATGCTGAGCAGATGTCTCAGCTATATGGAAACCCCATGCTGAATCATTTATGGTTAACAAGACATTCTTAAATGTTGCCTATTTGAGCTATTTTCACTCTGCTTTCCATAAAAATGCTACTATATTTAATTTTCAAAATATATCTTATAAAATGAGTCTTTAATTATGGATAGGGCTGGATCAGGCTATGAGAGCTAATGAGAGATTCCCTCCGAGATTCTGCAATACAATTAACTCACGAATCACAAGTCTCAGATTACAGGTTTTTCTAAAAGATATTCCAATTCAGGTTTCACAAAACACCTCAGCTTTCATTAACCATCAGGAAACTTACCTCATTGGGAGAATACTCGCTCCCATTACTCTGTAATGTTAGGTCATTTTGCACCTAAAGGAAGAGAAAAAATGCATGGTATGTTCCATCAGATTATAAAATTTTTGAGGCAAGAACTGAGTCTGACTTCTATCATAAACGTGGCACACAGGGACACAATGCATAATACGTGGAATTAATTTGTAGTTAAGTAGGCCATTTTTACTGTACACTTTCTAAAAACATGCAGCTATATTCACAGAAAAATACATCTAAAATATCATACAAACTAAGAAAAGGTATTTCCCAGAGCAAAGAGCTCAGCTTAAAGTACCTGTGAACATCAGCTTGCCAGGTTACCAAGTAACCTGCAGGCTCCCACCCGCTGGGAGCAGAAGGGTTTTCAGAAATTGTCCAAGGCAGTAGTTCCCAAATACACAAAATCTCACTGGGAGCTTTTTAATAAAAGAACATGCCTGGACCTAGCAAAGTCTTACGCTACCAATTCAACATCAGTTTGTTTTGACACCAACGAGAAAACTTGATAGTTTATTTTACCCAGATCTGCCTTTTTTATAAGGTAATCAAGAACCCCAGGGAATTCCCCGTCTCTGCAGTTGTTAGGACTCCACACTTCCAGTCGAAGGCCCAGGTTTGATTCCTGGTCAGGGAACTAAGATACCATAAGCCTTGTGACATGGCCAGTGACAACAACAAAATCCCATTGATCCACCCTATAAAATTTTAGTGATAACTAATGTAAACATGTTCACACATATCACCAAACTAGTATAAATTTAACATGGCTATTCCTATTGTTGAGGACTGCTATTAAAAAACATTCCCAACTGTGACAAATTCAAGGGGATAACATATTTTTAGCATAAAATGTCATTGATTTCCCTACCCAATTAAATGTCTTAACTGCTAACAAGTAACTTGCAGTTTTGATTCTCTATCAGAAACTCTGTTCTCTAATTTTCCCTGTGTTCCTCCAATATCCTTCCCCACTGGACATTATTTATGTATGAGAGTATACTTTTCAGTTCTTCCTGGATGGATGCCAGTGCTACCCAAACTTAATGGGGACAGTCATCTAAAGTGTGTTAAAAGGCAGAGAATGTGGTGTGCTAATTACAAGCCATTTCACAATCGGTCTCACCAATGTAACTGGGCACCAGTCTCTCTCATGGTGTCTCTGTTGGTTTATGCTCTATGCTGATTCCATCATGGCCAGGCTGTCTTCCTCAGCACAGCTTTCTGGGACCCATCCAAATGCAAATTACCCTTGAAATCTAGATTAATTTCTCTTTCCTTAAACTCTTATCCCTTCTCCTACTATCCCAGAGTACCTAAAACACCCAGGATTATGGGCCATCTCATAGTCTTCTCTGCTTTCTCAATATCCATGCCTTCTTTCCTCCACAATTTTTAAAATGCCTTAAAAGTGAGGGCAACTTCATCTCTTTCCTATTCCAGTCTTGGGTACTAAAAACAAGGCTGTATCCAGCACAAGGACTCAACACAGACTGGCTAACTGATTCAACACTCTGCTTATGAAATTGATTTCTTCCTGAACCGGGTGGAAGAAATAATATAGAAATAACCAGACCATAAAGGAGGGGCCCATTTAAGTTCCACATATCATCAGCACTGGCCTTGCTCATCCACCACTTTCTCTTCCATTCCTCCTTCTTGTGACTCTTTTTTTTTTTTCCACCAGAGCCAGAAATACTCCCTCCTTTTTAAAAATCATGAAGACATATCTGTCATGGACAGAGAATTGCCCAAAGAAGGAAGATAAGGAATAAGAATTCCTCACACCGAACATAACTCCTCGTTCCACCAAAAAGGAAAAAAGAAACAAAAACAAATTAATACTATAAATCAGAGATGGAATGGAGATCTTTTTTTCCTAGAGGCTTGATGTCTTCCTGATACTCCCGAAATCATGTACACAAGAGGGCATCTATTTTGCTGGAATCAAATGTGGTTCTGCAGGGTCTTCCCTGGTGGCCCAGTGGTTAAGACTCTGCGCTTCCAATGCAGGGGGCATGGGTTCAACCCCTCGACAGGGAACTAGATCCCACATCTTAGTGGGAATCTCTGTGTGCTATGCAGCACAGCCCCCCAAAAAAGATTTAAAAAGTGGGTCTGCAGCAGGATTCTAACATGGTCTCAAAGTATCTCTTCACTGACTACTATCTGCAAGGGGAAATAGAACAATACTTAAATGGTGGAGAAATCAAGTTCAACGTCAAGTGGGTGATCAAATTACCATCACCAGTGAAGCACAGACATATACAATGTGCCTCTGAAGGTGATACCCTGAGAAGGATGCCACGTAACCTGGGCAGCATCCCAGACAAGGCACGGAGACTCAATCTCATCGTGACGAAATATGAAGGATTTCTGTCCCACAAAATAAGAGGCAGTTCATTCTTTAAAAGAGAGGAGCACTATATTCTTTAAAATTTTAAGGTCATTAAAAAATCAAAGACAGGTTATGGCAGAATAAAGGAAACCATAGGTACCTGACAAATATCGCCTCTAACCTGGATCCTACTAAAAGGGAAAAAGTGCTGTGAAAAACATCATTAGATCAGTCTAAATATTTGGTATATGGAGAGCAGATTAGATGAAACTATTTTATGAGTGTAAATTTATGAAGTTGATAACTGAAGTCGAGTTATATAGGATAAAATCCCTATTCTTAGGAAAGGTACATTGAGATGCTTAGGGAAAAGGACTCTGACGTACAAAACTTATCCTTTGATTTTCAGAAAAAGAACTCTGGGGAAGAAGAGAGAGACAGAGATACCACAAAAGTGGTAAAATGTTAATCACAGAAAATGTGGGTAAAAGGTTATAATTTTTTTGTAACTTTTTGCAGAGTTCTGTCATTTTTTAACCTTTTATAATTATTTCCAAGTAAAAATCTAAATATAAAAGTGAGTCTGCACAGAATCAAAAGGAGCATGTCTCAAGAGGAGAGCCTCATGAAATAGACACAGGAGAGCCTTCACACAGAGGCTTCCTGATGTCCCACCACTGGGTCATTCAGTGACCCTCTTGGGGAGGAGGGAGTGCAGTGACTCCAAGGACAGAGCGGAGGAACAGTCACAGCTAAATTTAGGTGTCCTGGGTTATAAGGTGGATCCTAACTTACAGAAAATCAAGAAGTTAGGGAGGTAGCCCACAGGAGTCCATAGTTAGCAAGCCTTTGAGATGCAAAGAAAACTCAATGTAATTCCAAATTACTACACTCAACCATGAAACCATACTCTCTAGGAACATGGGTTTTTAAACTATAGCTCTTTTCCTTCTTATTTAACATAGAGACTTAGCTAGTTAAGAGTGTGAGACTGCTGTAATACGGTACCTGTTCAGATACCTCAAGGAACATAAGTTGGCTGTATTGAAATTAGCCATCCTAAATCCATTCAGTAAGAAGGGATGAAACAGGCTGTAACCAATGTTTTACTCCCATGTTGCCGTCTCAGACCTCTCTCTCTCCCCCTCTTTTTTGGGGGGACCTTCTAAGCTTATGTCTATTTTTATGTCAAAACTGCTTTCTCTGCAGCCACCTGAATTTTACCCTACATAGCTACCTAACCTACCCTTACCCTGTCCCCAAACTCCCCCATCAGTTTATCTTTGCTAGTCTCTTAATCCTCCTAGACATTTATCAAACCACTTACTCTTTATCTTTCAAGTCTTTCCTAGTTTACGTTCAGCTGGTCGGTCAGTTCATAGGCTGCTTACCCTGGCTGGTCCTACCTCCAATTTCTGACAGAGCCAGGTTTCTCTGTAGGTCTTATTTGCCATGGCCTGACTTAAAACTTTGCCATGGTCTGACATAAAGACTTAGAGAATTCAATGGAAACAGTCAACTCTCATCTTCAATGGGAGGTGAAATATAATAGATAAGCAGGAAAACTAAAGAAGCTAAAAGTATAAAAAATTTGAAAAACAGATCTTGAACAAATTTGAATACTGATCTCACTAATGAAAGTTCTTGTTCAGTCGCTCAGTTGTGTCTGACCCTTTGTGACCCCATGAACTGCAGCACACCAGGCTTCTCTGTCCTTCACCGTCTCCTGGAGTTTGCTCAAACTCATATCCATTGAGTCAGTGATACCATCCAACCATCTCATCCTCTGTTGCCCCCTTCTCCCCCTGCCCTTAACCTTTCCGAGCATCAGGGTCTTTTCCAATGAGTCGGCTCTTTGGATCAGGTGGCCCAAGTATTATAATGAATGTTCTAACCCATGATACATCTTGATAGAATATGGTAGCCACTCTTCTGTGGCAGAACACTGCACCAGAACTCTGGTTCATCCAAGAGCAGCCTTACCTCACATTCTGGAGACGCCTCCAGCTGTATTTGACCACTGTAGGAATTACAGAATAAAAAGATATAAATATAATTTAAAGCAAAAAATATTTCAATGTAAAAAGAGAAAATATACTGTTATAGAAAGGTCAACATACTTTAGTGCAGAGTCTTGCAATTCCAAGTCATCTGCTGGGTCCACAGGGTAAAAGTTTACAACGCTTCTCTCTGTAATATCTGTGCTTAATCTAAAGAGTAGGGGGGGAAAAAGTGTTACCAAATTACTGAACTTTAATAAATCCTACTGCTTTTGGCTATACTTAAAAGTTGTGTTTTTCATTAGAATTGAGTAATAAAAGGTTTATGGTAGAAACTTCAAACTATATAGTTTCCTCACCGTGACTATATATATATATTTTTAAATATAATTTTCAATCTACTTTGGTATCAAAATCCAACTTATTTGAAATAGAATAGTAATTTCTGATAAGGTCAGAAGAGTCATAGGTAGCACACACTAAATTTTTTTTTCCTTTTTCTTTTTCATTTATTTGTATTAGTTGGAGGCTAATTACTTTACAATATTGTAGTGGTTTTTGCCACACATTGACATGAATCAGCCATGGATTTACATGTGTTCCCCATCCCGATCCCCCCTCCCGCCTCCCTCCCCATCCCATCCCTCTGGGTCTTCCCAGTGCACCAGCCCTGAGCACTTGTCTCATGCATCCAACCTGGGCTGGTGATCTGTTTCACATTTGATAGTATACTTGTTTCAATGCTGTTCTCTCTGAACATCCCACCCTCCCCTTCTCCCACAGAGTCCCAAAGTCTGTTCTGTACATCTGTGTCTCTTTTTCTGTTTTGCATATAGGGTTATCATTACCATCTTTTAAAATTCCATATATATATATAGCACACACTAAATTTTATTAAAAACTTAATCAGTTTGTTGAAACAAGTAAAGTTTCTATTATACTGTACATACACTATACTACAGTATATGTACCAAGAGCATTTATTTAATAGGAATATTAAAATAAAAAATTTCAAAAGCAATTTAAGATATGCATTTTATATCTGAAATTGTCTTACAGTTTCTGAATTTCTATAATTTTAAGAGTTGCATTTTTTTAAGATCTATAAAACCAAGAATTTCTAAAAGTCATATAAAAGTTACAAAGCTATTTTAAAAGGTGGGTATGCATTCATAGTATACAATCTAATGAAGATGGTATCTAACCAACAATCAGAAATCCTTGAGAGAAGAAATCAACAAAGGCAAAACAGGAAAGCAATATTCAACTAAATTTTTTGATGTTAGGGTTGCATGAAAGGTAAAGCTCTAAAATTTAATCCTATGATCAGTGACTTGATTAAAACAAACAAAGCAATCTGGATCTAGGAAACGAGATAAAGGGAAATCTTAATGTGTATATAAACTTTTTATGACTATTATTCAAGCAACTAGAAATAACTGACCTCTTGAAGTGCCCTCTCTTTATCAGAAGCAAAAACAGGGCTCTTTCTTTATCCCTATTATACCAGCTCACAGACACATTATTATGAAGTTAGAACTGTAATAGTAGAATATCTATTTCAGGACGCACAACAAAGATCTATAGCAGCCAAAGCAGTCGATTACTTTAGGGAGGAGGTCAAATCCATAAAAGTTTTACAGCATAATATATTTTAACGCAATAATCCACAAAGATGCAAATCAACTATCCCTGGGAAGGTTACTCAAGGCTGTGCTCCTCCACACCCACCAGCAATGCCAACTGGCTCGACATCCTTGGCAACTTATTGCCTCAGACCTTTCGAGGCTGGGGCAGTATCTCCAGATCCTCAGCTCACCCCACTTCTCATGAAGGATGACGCCACGGAAGCCCAGAATGGGGAGCCACACCCGCCAGGTCACCCCGATCTTACTCTGGGCTCCAGTCCCACATTCCCTGGCCACTGCTATGTCCACCAAACGAAGCCGTTCTTTTTCACTTTGGGGCTCACATATTCATCTCGAATTTGTAAGCAAAGTTTACTGGAAAAGTGATACAAAGTGTAAGAAGGCAGAAATATTAAAACAATATCAAGTTTGAGCCCAAGTGGGAGTCTCCTCTCTGTCACATCACGTCTTCAAGGCTCTATCTTGGACTCAAATTCCTTTCCCATTGATGGGCTCATCCTTGGGAACTCCATCCATTTATAATACTGCTTCCATTACAACATACCTTATGAAAGTAACTTTTATTGTACTTTATTTTTCAAATTTATCTGGCTGCACTGGGGTCTTAGTTGCAGCATGTGGGATCCAGTTCTCTGACCAGGGATCCAACCCTGGCCCCCTGCCTTAAGAGCTTGGAGTCTTAACCATTGAACCACCAAGGAAGTCCCTGAAAGTAACTTTTAAGTCTAAGTCTTGGAGCCCCAGACCTAAACATCTAGCAGCTGAATGGACAGTATCACACTGCCACCTTGGATTCTATGCAGCAGGTCCTAAACTGAGTCCAATACCCTCCTTCTCAAACTGGCTGTTCCCATGATTCCCATCTCAGATGGAGACAGGAGGGGTCAGGTCTAAAACACCTTGGACTGTTTCCCTCCATCCTCACCACCACCTCAAACAATCACCAAAGAACTACCACAGTATCTGCTACTGAGTATCTCCAGTGTTTAAAGTATAAATAAAAACCGTAATTTAGAAACACTCAGAGAAAACTTCGATCTTGATATATTTGTTTCTAGTTTTAACTGTTAATGGGACCTGGGGCTTCCCTGGTAGCTCAGCTGGTAAAGAAACCGCTTGCAATGCAAGAGACCCTGGTTTAATTCCTGGGTCAGGAAGATCCGCTGGAGAAGGGATAGGCTACCCATTTCAGTATTCCTGGGCTTCCTTGGTGGCTTAGTTAATAAAGAATCCTCCTGTAATGCGGGAGACCTGGATTCAATCCCATGGGTTGGGAAGATACCCTGGAGAAGGCAAGAGCTACCCCACTCCAGTATTCCAGCCTGGAGAATTCCATGGACTGTATAGTTCATGGGGTCACAAAGAGGCAGACACGACTGAGCAACTTTCACTACCCATTAATTCTATTTATATCATTGGGATCAAACTTTATGTACTTTTACACTTTTTAAAGTTAACATTATATAGTGAGCAACCTAAAATACATTGAAAAGTTAAAAAAAAAGGTATTGGTTGCATATTTCATCCTATTAAGGACCATGATTTAAGTATCTCTAAATTGTTAGATCATTGCCTTTTTTCCAAATATTTGCTATGAAAAACACCTCTCTCCCCTCACAACTGCTGTTCATGTCTCTTTGTCCCTTAGGATACAATTCTGGAATTAATTCAAAAGCTTTATATCTATTTTTAGGCTATGGCTACAAACTACAAGGTTGCCTTCTGGAGAACGGTTCTGCCAGTGGACCTTTCCACCAGCAGTTTATTTATTATTTCAAATCCTCACAACAGTAAAAGACAAGTACTTACAGCCCATCTTATAGATGAGAAAACTGGGGTACAGAGAACTTATATAATTCACCCAGATTAACTGGGGTTAGAACTGGGATTGCAACCAGTGTCTGGTTGACTAAGGTAGTTCTCCTCCAGCCATACTATTTCCCCACTCCATATAATTACTCTCTCTGTCTCTCTCTCTCTCTATCTAAAACTCTCTCTATCTCAAACTCTCTCTATCTCAAACTCTCTCTTACACACACACACACACACACAGAAGCTCTCTTCTCCCTGTTTCCTACTTTCTCACTGACTGCTCTGATTTAGAATGTGAAATTCAGCTTTTTAAGGAACACACGTCAGTTAGGTGCTTACAAATAAGCCAGACTCTGAGTCAAACATGAGGGAGAATGAACAAAATAACCACATTTTAAAGCCATCGTTGATTCCTTCTACATATAAAATAAGGTCTCAGCTCCTCAACCCCGAATTTGAAGTCACACCTGCATCAGCTCCTCTGGGAAATCCCACTCCTGGCTGCATATCAGAAGCACCAGCAAAACTTAAAAAAAAAAAAAAGAAAATGGCCAGACCCCCCGCACCACAGCAGTGTCAGGCAGTGTCTGTGTTTTGAAACTTCTACAAATGTTCCTGAAGCACAGCCAGCGTGGGAGATCACCTTTTGTTCTTGAGATTTTCCAAGTTTGTTCCACTCTTCTTGACCTCCATGCCTTTGCATGAGCTTTTAATTCAGTCCAGAATTCACTTTCTCCTTGCAAGTGCTAGCTGTCAAAGGCCCAGGTAAAACACTCTAGACTTCAGAAGGCTGGCTGAGCCACCTCCCCTTTTCCACCCGGAGTCAGGCATTCACTCTATCACTTGCTTCCTTCACTTCAAGCCCTTAAATCCATTACACTTATAAATCACTACTCAAGGCAACATGTGTAGTGATGGTTTAAGTTCTTAGGGGGAAGAGCTGTGTCTTGTTCATCCTTATGTCCCCCAAGGTGCACACTGCACATCTTTCTACGCTCTAAGCACTCAACTAACGTCGGCAGAATCGAAATGCTTTTCAAATCACCTGCTGCAGATTTCCAGCCATGCTCGCCCGACCTGTGAGCACTCCTTCAGAGCCAGGCAACAGTGGTGGTGTGCTCTCCCTGGCACTCTGGGACTCACTAATACCTCTTTCCATAAACTCCCAGAACCTGGTGTGATTTCCACACCCACCATATTACAAGACCACATCATCTTCACATTTAAATCCCCACAAACCCTGAATGGTTTACCAGGGATAACCTTTGGATCTACTTCTCCATCAATACGGTAGTTATCACCCAATACCAGGTATACTGCCGTCCTGAAAAATATTTTGTCCATGGGCATTCTATTATCTTCAGCTAAAAAATCAAAAACCATACTTACTGCATATAGTGCCTATTATTGATAATGACTAATTCAATGAAAAAATTATCACCCAAATCTTTGGAAATATATAATTTAGTTAACATATACTTGGCACCATATGTATGGATGACTGAGTCACAGTGCTATATAGCAGAAGTTAAATACATCATTGTAAATCAACTAAACATCAATAAAAAGTTTTAAAAATAAATAAATATGGTAACACTTGATAAATTAATATTTTCCTTTTTTTTTTAGAAAATCTCTTATATTTCTATATTCCAGGGGTTTAAATTTCATTGATATAAGATATGCACTTTGACTATTTCTGTTGTCTAAACATTATACAAAAATCACCCAATGAACTGCATGAAGGATGAATGAATTTCAAGAGACGACGAACAGGAGGTAACTGATCTCAATCCCTCCAGAAGTTTGACTCTTTTATTTATGCATCTTGGGAAAACAGACAGTTAAAACTAACTTTTTTTTTCCCAGTGGTTAGTGGTGAGCCCAAACTGTGTGTATAGATACTTAAAAAATTGAGATAATGCACTCAATAAATAAGTGTACATTATGGACCCATGGAATCTGGGCCAAGGAAAGACACACATACCTGTTGGGATCTTGCAGCAAATCCACCGCTTCTCTCAGCTGTTCAATCATTGCTATATCGATGTCCTGGTCTTTGGATGCACTTATTCTGCAGCATGAGACCAAGCATGAGACCGAAAATGACCACCAGAACATGAATAGCACCTGGGTTCTTAAGAGCAAACTTACAAAAATCCACCTAACATTACAAAAACCATTTTGACAAACCCAGCATTTTAATGGAGATGTGTCAGAACTCTGTGGGGTGAGCTTCCAGAGTTACTGGGGTGGGGGAGCCAGCTTGGCTGTAAAACACATCATTCGAAGTCTCAATGACCCTGGGCCCCCACCTGCCCAACTGTAGCGTGAGAGCAATGGACAAGCTGAATGGTTCTCAGTCCAGGCTCTTTAAGCAGTAAAATCATCTAAGGTGCTTAAAAAAAATGCCAGGGCTGATACTCCCAAGCAGGTTGTCTAGGGCTTGAACATTTTATTAAGGTCTACAGATGATACTGATTTACAGGCAGAGTTAGGAACAATAGATATAAGATTGAATATGGGGTTTCCAAAGATTTACATAGTTTAAAAACTCTATAAAATCCATTTCCCTATAATTCTATGATTCTATAATCAAGCTAGTCCTCCTCCTCCTCCTCAGCATATCCAATGAATAGCTGGCTGTATTAGACAGTAATTTGAAAGGAACTCTGCAATATTTTTAAAAGGCAAGAGAGATTTGATCACGGTTACTGCTTTCTACTACAGAACATAAGTCAATATCTTTCTATAAGTGAAGAAACTTTGAATGATGGAGTACATTCTCACTAAGGGGAAAACCCGCATGAAGTCTGATGGAAGGTCCAGGCCTATATGCTGGATCATGGAAAACAGAATCCTGGGAACCAAAAATCTACCCTATGCCATATGGTCCAAACTCAACCCCCCTGGAAAAGGTTCACTGTCTTGACAGATTACTCATGCCCTCCTGCATAAAGCTGGCCAAGTAAATCTTTATATGCAATAGACTGGAAGGGATGTCCATCTGGTGCAAGATTCCTTGGGTTCAATCCTAGCCCTCTGTAACCCTGGGGCAAGATGATCAGTCTTCCTATGCCTCGGTTTTGTCATCAGCAAAATGAGGGATAAAAACAGAATTTATCCCAGAGAGTTGTTGTAAAGAGGAAATGAGTTGCTACCTGTGAAGGACTTAGGACAGTGCCTGATGTGGTATTTAATAAATATTAGCTAGTGCAACTATTAGACTTAAGACCAAGACCTCAGAAGTATATGGTTTTCTCAGGCCTTGAGGATTCTGGGGAAAGAAGTGGGAACAGGACCATATAACATTTCAGGTCCAGCTGTTGGTTGGTTCAGACAAAGGAAAGTAAGCTGAAATCTTCTGTCCAGCAATTCTCTCTCGTTTCTTGAATCACATTCTACCCATAGCCTCAAATCTGATAAAACTCACGGCCAAGGAAGAGGTATGACCTAGTACTGTGTGGTCCCAATATGACAGTAAGTACCAGCGGATAAACTTGCACCTCTGATCAATATCATTGGCTAGGGCTATCAGCTTGCCCAAAGAAAAGTGGACCACGATTCTATCATGACAGAGCTGCTGTTTCACGTGAAACATGCACTTTACAGGATGGAGGCTCATCCCCAGCCCTGGGTACTCACGTCCCCTCGGATGGCCAGTGCGCATCCTCTTCTATCCGTAATAGTTCTTCACAGGCCTCAGTCCTTTCCTATGGACAGAACACATGGGTCTTCTGAGAGCCACTGGCTGTGACAGTCAACAGTCTAAACCTGCCTCCGTCTATGTTCATAGCAGCACTACTCACAACAGCCAAAAAGTGGAAATGACCCAAGTGGCCGTGGATGGATAAATGGAGAAAATGTGGTCTAGACACACAGTAGAATATCATCCAGCCTTCAAAAGGTAGGAAATTGTGATACATGTTACAACGTAGATGTCCCTAAGGACATCATGCTAAATGAAATAAACCAATCACAAAAAGAAAAACACTGTACGATTTCACATACATGAGGTCCCTAGAATAGTCCAATTCATAAAGACAGAAGGTAGAATGGTAGTTGGGAGAGAGATTGGGAAGTTACTGTTTAATGGGTAAAGAGCTTCCATTTTACAAGATGAAAAGAATTTTGGAGATAGATGGTGGAGATGGTTACATAATAAGGTGAATATACTTACCACTGAATTGTATACTTAAAAAAAAAGGTTGAGATGGTAAGTTTTAGGTCATAAGCATTTTACCACAATTAAAAAATAAAAGACATGGAAACCTGGTGTGCTGCAGTTCATGGGGTCACAGAGTCAGACACGACTTAGCAACTCAACAATAACAACAACAAAACGTTAAAATTTTTAAAAAGAAAAAAGAGAACCTGGCTTCAGATCACAACTTAAGAGTCAGAAATGCAAAGCTCAACTCGATTCCTCATTGCCTCTTAGCACCTCCTGATGTTGACAGATTGCTCCACTGAGCTTGTCAGTTACATGGAAATGTGCATTCTATTGTTTCTGAGAGGACTGTGTGTGTGTGTGTGTGTGCGCACGCGCGCACATGAGCACTTGCGTGTGCTATTAGTAAAAAGGGAAGCATAAAAGACTTAAGACAGAAAATGCCTCAAATTGCATCTGATGGTTTTCATGTGTAAAACATCCAGATTTCACTGAAACGCACCCCTCTCCCGTGATCCCAAAGAAGCACTCTGGTGGGAGTATTTAAAAGACCGTTCCACTGTTGGAACTGCATGCGCTGTTCTCCACTTTGATCTCCACCACAGAGAAATGCTGCTTTAACTCAGCTGACAGCTAAAACGGAAGCCATCCCTGAAAGTGCGAACATTCCCCTAGCAAGCAAGGTACAACAGACAGAAGGATTGTTTTCTGTGTCAAAGTTCTGACACGTTATTAACTAACTCAGGCCCAGCCAACTCTCCAGATGTGTCATGGAGAACAAGTCTTCCTCTAAGGAGGGATCTAGCTGCTTGATGTCAACCTCTGGCTTGAAAAACACTCTTTTTAAAAAAAAAAAAAAGAAAGAAGCACTTAGACTTTTTCTATATTGATTACACATTTTGTGCATAGGAAAAATCAATAAATAAATTACTACACCTTTATCCAAGTGACAGTGAAATTTATGGGTGAAAATATACAACCAGAAATAACCAAGAAAACATGTTCTTATCTCTTCCTATTGGGTTGGAACTATAGGAGCCATGGGCATTTCCTTCTAAGTTTCAGTTTCACAAGAAAAAGTAGCCAATATAAAACAACATAAAACAAAAAATGTATAAAACATCTATTTTAGTACACAAAATAGTGGCATTCTGGGTTACTTTTGCTAAGTTAGATGGCTATACAGTCGATAAACATTATTCACTGACTTGGTATTTATGAATTTGTCTACTCTCTGAAATCTATTTATCACCCCAAAATCAATACTTGTGGTGACGTGCAGACACACGCAAAGCCTGGTGGAAAACTGAAGTCCCCAACCCCAACATACACTTCCACAGTTGAGGCTGAACAAGGTGAGGTCATCCATGCTTTTTTGTTTCAGCTTTCAGGCTGAAAAAAAAGTGTCCTTTTCAGAGTCTACTTAGTATCACAAATGCCCCCTAGTGTAGTACCAGAGTGCTAAGTACCTAAGCATGAGAAGGCTGTGATGTACCTTAAGGAGAAAATACCTGTGTTAGGTAAGCTTCCTTTCTGCATGAGCTACAGGGTCTTTCTTGGCTGCAAGTTCAATGTTAATAAAACAACAATCCACATTAAATCAAGTGTCTTGAGGCAGGAACAAACATAAAACCAGGTTATGTACCAACCAGTTAACAAAAATGTGTGACCAGAGGTTCACAGGAACCTAAAAAACCCTGTATCTCCCATGGGAGCAACAGTTCGGGATTAGACAATTCAGTGTTTGAGGAGACTCTATATAACAGAGCTATGTGAATGAGGATCAACTGTAGTTACAAAAGCACAAGATGCTACTTCAGTGAAGGAGAGGAGACACGATTATATAAAACACAGAGCTCTTGATGGTCGAGGGCTGAGTAATTCAGTACACTGGATAGCAGTCAAACACACTCACACTTTAAAGAGACGCAAGTCGAGGCTAAAATGGGCCTGAATTTCAGTGCACAACTTTCCATTGTAGATTTACGTTTTACTTTACTCCTAGAGTTCCCCACCTTCCAAGAGAAACCTCCTGCAGGGGTGTTTACTCGGGAAATATCTGCGATAGATTTCTACACTCACCTTTGTTCCCCTAGACTCCACCCACAGACCCATTCAGTACAGCAGCCATTTCCATGGACCCGAAATCTCTAAATCTAGGAAACTTGATTTTCTGAAACAACGTGCTTTTTTTCCCACTATCACTTTAATTGTTTTCTTTCAGGGCTTCCACCATTAGACCCTCAACTTGAACTGATCATAAAAGAAAGACCAAAGCCCAATTTTCCACGTTTTGGTGACAGGCTTGTCTCAGGGTTGACAGCCAGGCATCAAAAGTGGGAGCGTCCTGTGAGGGCCACCGGCTGCAGAGTCACATCTGAGACTTTCACTTTAGGAGAATGCCTGGCGGGGGTGGGATGCTGGATGCTCAGCGAGGGGTTGGGGGACTCCTGCTGTCATCAGAATAAGCAATGATGAGGCTCCACCAAAGCCACATCAGAGGAGGTGGAGGACAGAAGGAGGCAGTGCATGTGAGATAATTTGAAATAAGAGCTGATGAATTAAATATACAAAATAACGAATAGGTTTTCTACAAATGTACGTCATATGCCAGAATCACTGTGTCTGTTTTGAGCAAACCAGAGCCTCCTAGAGTGTACCATTCAGCTGTTTTTCTCCCAGTTCCCTTGAAGGTGATGCTTGGAGACATTCGTTTGGATAAAGCCCAGCCATCCTAACACCATCCTCAGGAAATAAGGACCAGCACCTAAAGACCCCAGGCCTGACTTTAACACAGCAACTCAGAGACCACAGTTTCTCACAACCCACAAGGTATCTGAATTAAAGCAAAAGGGTTATCCTTGTGATCCCTGGTGCCATGACCGAGGCCAAAGGACGGACAAGAACAAACCAAGGCACGTAATCCTGTCACAAAGTGGAACCTTAACCACCAACTTTGTAAAGGGCTGGTTTTCCCCTCATTGTTGCCGTTCCTCTGATGAAAATTCGTCTGACAATTTAGAGACTTCATCCAACCTTTCAACATCTCAGTGACACTAAAGCTGCTCAGGAATAAGTGACTGCAAAGTAACCTTCCTAAAAAGGGAACATATTCATTTCCAGAATTTAAAAGTCTTCATTTTTTCTCCTTTTACTATAAATACACTCCCAAGAAAAGCATTTTCCGAGGATACATTGAAAGTGTAAAGGCAATGGCAACCCACTCCAGTACTCTTGCCTGGAAAATCCCAAGGATGGAGGAGCCTGGTGGGCTATAGTCCATGGGTTGGAGAAGAGTTGGACACGACTGAGCGACTTCACTTTCACTTTTCACTTTCATGCATTGGAGAAGGAACTGGCAACCCATTCCAGTGTTCTTGCCTGGAGAATCCCAGGGACAGAGGAGCCTGGTGGGCTGCCATCTGCAGGGTCGCACAGAGTCGGACACGACTGAAGCGACTTAGCAGCAGCAGCAGCAAAATACATTGAAAAGCACATGAAACTTTGTTTTAGCTTTTATGGGATGGTCACAGGAATTCTGATAAATTTCCTGACTTACATGATGCACTGACTACTGGAAAGCTTAGTAATTTCCGAATGCAAAAGAAAATCATACATAAACACAGACATAAATAGGTATGGATGGCAGGGACCAGGTCCTCATGTCAGCAGACAGACATGCGAGGCACTGAGAAGATGGTACATAGGCCTGAAGAAGGTGGCAGGAAGCCGAGATTGAAGGTGATGGATTGGAAACCTTGAGCGTAAACTCTAAGGCGCCAAACAGAACTCAGTAAGTTAAAAAAATTACTAACAGTTGATCCTCAACTTGCCTTAATGTAGTTTATAAACTGCGAATGGAGCACGTCTGTTCCATGGGAACACTGGTCTCGTTCTTCTCCTGAGTTGTTTGAGTTGTTATTGCTACTCACAAATGAAGGCGCCGGCTGAAATTCCTGACGAAATTCCCCTATTAGGAAAATAAAAAGAGAGCTACAAAGCACGATTTAATAAACAGATGAACAAAAACACAAGATGACTCTAAAATACACCATCTAGCTTCCCAATCTTCTCCGCCATCTCATCTGGAGGTATATGATGACCCAAGTTTTATCTTCCCTATAGGATGTGAGGACCAGGTGAAAAAGAAAGAAGGGGAATAAAAGTAAAAGAAATAAGAAACCCCAAATCTAATGGTCAAGGCCTCTTGATCTAAAGCAGTGGGATGGGGTGGGGTGGGAGGAAGGTCCAAGAGGGAGAGGATATATGTACACGTATAGCTAATTCACTTCCTTGTGCAGCAGGAACCAACCCAGCACTGTAAAACAATTATCCTCCAAATAATAAAGTTTTAAAAAGTCACGGCCCCTTTATGGCTTAGTTTCTTATGAAAGAAATGAAATCTCCTGTAATTTTAAGGAACAGAGAAGAGAAAAATATAAAAGCGGGCTTTCTGCGCTCCCCGCAACATGTGACAAGTATTTCAAATTCAAAATTCAGTGAATAGTTACTGAGCAACTACTAAATAGGTATAATGCTAAACATTCTAGGAATTTGAAAAACTAGTGAACATGGTAAGAAAGTGTGGGAAAGGACAAAAATAAGGACCCGAAATCATAACACAAAAAGTGACTATGATGAGGGCAATGTGGAGGGGAAAGCGCTGTCTGTCAGAGCCCATCCAACCAGACTGCGCTCTAGATGCTTTAGGACAGGACGAAGGAGCAAAGGTGCATCTCTTCTAGCTGCTCTGGATGCTGCAAAGAACTAAGTAGGACCACATCACCTTCAAGGATTTCTGCCTGCCTGCTAAGTTGCTTCAGTCGTTCTTGACTCTTTGCGACCCCATGGAGTCCTAGCCCACCAAGCTGCTCTGTCCATGGGATTCTCCAGGCAAGAATACTGGAGTGGGTCACCATGCCTTCCTCCAGGAGATCTTTCCCACCGAGACTGAACCCATGTCTTATGTATCTTGCATTGGCAGGTGAGTTCTTTACCACTAGTGCCACCTGGGAAGACCTCAAAGACTTGTAGCCAGCAAAAAATGGCCACTTTTAGAACAGAGAGAACAGTTAGAACTGGACATGGAAAAACAGACTGGTTCCAAATTGGGAAAGGAGTACGTCAAGTCTGTATATTGTCACCCTGCTTATTTAATTTATGTGCAGAGTACATCATGCAAAACGCTGAGCTGGATGAAGCTCAAGCTGGAATCAAGATTGCCGGGAGAAACATGAATAACCTCAGATATGCAGATGACACCACCCTTATGGCATAAAGTGAAGAGGAACAGCCTCTTGATGAAAGTGAAAGAGGAGAGTGAAAACACTGGCTTAAAACTCAACATTCAGAAAACTTAGATTATGGCATCCAGTCCCATCACTTCACGGCAAATAGATGGTGAAACAATGGAAACAGTGACAGACTTTCTTTCCTTGGGCTCCAAAATCACTGCAGATGGTGACTGCAGCCATGAAACTAAAAGACACTTGCTCCTTGGAAGAAAAGCTATGACCAACCTAGACAGCATATTAAAAAGCAGAGACGTTACTTTGCCGACAAGTGTCCGTTTAGTCAGTTATGTTTTTTCCAGTAGTCATGTATGGACGTGAGAGTTGGACCATAAAAAAAGCTGAGTGCCAAAGAATTGATGCTTTTTAACTGTGGTGTTGGAGAAGACTCTTGAGAGTCCCTTGGACTGCAAGGAGAGCTAACCAGTCAATCCTAAAGGAAATCACTCCTGAATATTCATTGAAAGGACTGATGCTGAAGCCGAAGCTCCAACCCTCTGGCCACCTGACGCGAAGAACCGACTCATTGGAAAAGATCCTGATGCTGGGAAAGATTGAAGGCAGGAGGAGAAGGGGACGACAGAGGATGGGATGGTTGGATGGCATCACTGACTTGATGGACATGAGTTTGAGTCAACTCCAGGAGATGGCGAAGGACAGGGAAGCCTGGGGTGCTGCAGTCCATGGGGCTGCAAAGAGTTGGACACGACTGAGCGACTGAACTGAACTGAACTTCCTCAGCTACAGAATACAGTGCTTAGAGTATCCATCTCAGAGTTTTAAATTTTAAATGCGATCCCCTTCACAGATTAGCCAGTGCCTGGTGCAGATGAAATGCTCAATAAACAGTAACTACTGTATTACTGTTGCCGTATTTCTACACATTTTAAACATAGCATTTGGAACTTCTCTATAAACAAGCACTTTCACCAGACTTCCCCGGTGGTCAGTGGCTGAGACTCCACGTCCCCAGTACAGCAGCCCAGGATTCGATCCCTGGTGGGGAAATGGATCCTGATGCCACAACTAAGAGTTTATACGCCACAACGAAATCCTACTTGCCACAACAAAGATGGGAGATCCCCAGGGTCGCAACTAAGACAAGTATAGCCAAATAAATGAACAAATATCGAAAACAAAACAAGCACTTTCTTCCCATCCTTCATTCTCAGACCTTGAACTGGGCTAATGCGATGGCAGGAGTCCTCCTTGATTTGCTCTTCTTCCATGATGTTTGACATTGGCACGTTGAGGCTAACGGTGTCTTCATCAGAAGGCTGAAAAGAAACGAGGCACTGTCTCATTCAAGGGAGAAGTGTTATCAAGGCAGATTAAGAGAATGTTTTGTGATCAAAAAAAAAAAAAAAGTACTGTGATTCTCACAAACACGGTACTTAGTAAAAGAGACCAAGGGATAATGCCACTAATATATAAATTCAAAGACGGGCAAAATTAATCTATGGTGTTTGAAGTCTGGATAGTGGCTGCTCTTGGGTTGGGGGGTGGGTGCATGAGGGGGTCTTCCTAGGTGGCTGGTACAGCTCTCTTTCTCTAACTAGGAACTGTTTGTATGAGTGTGCTCACTTGTTCAAAATTCATCAAGCTAACACACACATACTTCTCTGTACGTACATTTTGATCTGAAATTTTTTTCAGGTTCCTAATGACATTTTCTAATCTAAGAGTCAGGACACTGAGAAGGACTGGATAACACCTGATAGAACAAAGAAATAACTGGAAATCCACTACCAAGCTAGCCCTAAGTCTAATCGATTGCTTTCATAGTAATGGTGCGCTGAGATCTGACAACAATACTGATTTACCAAAAGTACATTAAGGTTTCATGGGGCCAAATACAGAGACTAGGGAGTCAGCCTTTGAAACATCTCATTTATTTACAGTACATCTCACACACAACATCAAGCTTCAGTTTATTTCCCTGTTTAGGCAGAGGAAGCTATTTTAAATATATAAGAAGCTGCTTTAAATATAGTACTCAAAAGGAACATGGGTTCTGTGCAATTTTCAGAATAATGCTTCTATTTAGTAATCAGACTTAGTTCTCCCTTGGGGTCTTGTTTCCCACACTAACTGATGAAGCTTATTCAGATAATCTATGATTCTGTCACATGTGAAATATGAAGCCTCATGTATTTTCCTATGTCTCCACTTTAGCTTCACTATTTCGAGAAAATCCTTCCCAATCACAGGGATCAGGAACCCCACAGAGCAGGTTTCAGGTGACTTCGGCTTGCTCCTAAACTCCCGAGGCTGTGACTTATACCATATAGTGTTCGTCTTACTTTTGGACACATGCACAGACTGTCCAGAAACTGGCAGAAAACAAACGTGCATTTCATTCATTACCCAGCTCTTTACTGGGCCTCACATTTGTTTTCTGTTTGCTTATCTGAGTGATAAATGCTAAATCAATCTGAGTGACAAATGTTAAATCAATCAGACAATAGCAACAGCCAAAGAGGGGGATGAGGTGTGAATTCTAAACCCCACAAGGAGATATTAAGCAGGGAACAAGATTGACTGACCGCAGATGATAACATATTTGCCAAATAAAGTGAAAATAAAAAGTTACATAGAATAATTCAGAACCTTTATCCGTGTAAAACACACCTTTCTTGGAGGTGTTCTCAGGTAATGAGACTATAATGTGCAATAAATAGGAAGACAAAAAGACAAAGGGAAAATGTGCACACTTTATTCTATTGAACATAATCCTTTCTGCAGTCCTTCCTTCTACCCTCCTCCCATCTTTAAAAACTTAGCAAAATTCCAAGATCTGCATCTAGTTAAAAAGGAGAAAATAAACCCTTGGCCTCCTTTTAGAATATTAGCATCCTACTTATACTAAGTGGGAACAAAAGGATAATGAAGTTCTTTGTTTAATGTTTTATTAATGAACTTAATTATCCTTAGAAGACAGATAAAGGATAAAGCAGAGTCTGTTTTAATTTAATAGAAAATAAGCTCGGGTGAGTAATTTCTGAAACAATGGACTATTTCAGGGGACTTATGAGTTTTAATACAGCTAAGGGAGCTGAATTAAATAAAACTTATAAAGCAATGTGTTGAGTATTTTTCCCCCAGGGAATCACAGTAAACTACTCATGTAGGTTCATGAGGGTAATTTCATTTTATTGATATTGGCTTTCTTTTTCTGCCTATAAACTCTCTTCCTTTTGAAATATTCTATATTAGAAAAATATTAAGGTATAATAATTTTTAATAATACTGCCTTATGAAATATTTTGTGGGAAATAAATTTAAATATCTTAGCTATGTATTAAATCTCAAATGCCTAAAGAGAACAGGGAAAAGGCAATTTTCCTGGATTTATATATACAAAGAGTAAAAATTCAGATTTCTTAGAGTAATTGAGCTACTAATCACATCTTAAAAGAGTACTATCAGTCGCTAAGTCATGTTTGACTCTTTTGTGACCTCATGGACTCTAGCCCACCAGGCTCCTCTGTCCATGGAATTCTCCAGGCAAGAATACTAGAGTGGGTTGCCATTTCCTTCTCCAGGGGAAATTCCCCACCCAGGAATCAAACCCGAATCTCCTGCCTTAGCAGGCAATTCTTCATCACTGAGCCACCAGGGAAGCCCTTAAAAGAGTATTGCAATGTTTCAGAATTCAATAACCACACAAACTCAGTGTGTGAGTGCGTATGTGTGTGTGGCTCAGTCCACTTCAGTGAGTTCCCTCAAAAAGGGAAGGCATCGTGTGTGTGTGTGTACGCGTGTGTGTGTGAAGGCATCGTGATACCGCCACCCCTACACCAGCTGTCCCTCTTAGCTCTGCTGGTCAAGAAACCTCATGTGATGATTTATTAGTGAAAGAGTTTGGGAACCTAACAAACTATATATGACAAATGTTCTAAATGAGTTATTTATAACCACTTTACAAAGCTCTAGTGTGGGAGGCCGCTTAGCTCACAAATCACCAAACTTTTATCCAGTATTATCTGAAAAGAACACAATCTAAGAATTTCCGAAAAACAAATACTGCTGTGAAAATTATGGCTACTTAAAAATGCATTTCCTGTGGGTAGAATGCAATGTCCATCTGATTGCTTAACATTTATGCAGGCGTATTAACAGCCTTTTCCTAAGTTACTCTGTCATTTAAAAGCAAACACTGATATTTATAAAAATACTTCCTGGGTACTTGCACACCACTTAGTCATTTTATAATATTCATTAAGCATGCGATAATATTCTAGACAATGTGAGGCGCGGTGGGAGGAGGGAAAGGAGACAGGAACTCTATTCTTGAGACATTTACAAAATATTAAAGATGCAGAAAAAGCTAAAAACAGTTAATATTTATAGAACACTTAGAAAATTTCAAATAACTTTCACAAACATTATCACATGTTCTCAGGCAATTCCCTTTATCCTAGAGTCCAGTGAATGCAGGCAGATATACCTAGAAGCACAGAAGGAAAAGAATCTGATCCCGAACTTTACCTCTGTGGCAGATAATCGTTTGTCTCCGTTATCACTCCCAACGCCCGAATCAGAATCCTTCTTGCTGGGTTATATGCCATCGATATTGAATTCATTTAGAAAAGAATCAAAATGACAAAGTTCAGAACAATATACATCAACTTATATCAAAATAATGACTTTGCTATATAAATTTTTATTATTATCCAAAAGCAACAAATCAGTTGAATATTATAGGATATTAAGACAAGGCCCAACTTGGGCTTCCCTCATAGCTCAGTTGGTGAAGAATCTGCCTGCAATGCAGGAGAGCTGGGTTCGATGCCTGGGTCGGGAAGATCCCCTGGAGAAGGAAACGGCAACCCACTCCAGTATTCTTGAATGGAAAATCTCATGGACAGAGGAGCCTGGCAGGCTGCAGTCCATGGGGTTGCAAGAGTCGGACACGACTTAGTGACTAAACCACCACCACCAAGACAAGGCCCTAATGAAAATCAGATACTTGAACGGTCTGTTGGACAATTTTTTAATTTAATTAATTAGTTAATTTATTTTTGGCCTCACCACCAACACATGAGATCTTAGTTCCCTGACTGGGGATTGAACCAGCAACTCCTGCATTGGAAGAGCAGAGTCTTACCACTGGGCCACAAGGGAAGCCCCAGTACTGTCTAAATCTAATGTAAAATAAAATTCCTTGTGTCTGGATTTACATTCTACCTGAGTGGCCCAGGTAACAATTTTCTTATTTTATTAATTCTAGAGTATAAAAAAGCAAAATCCGTCAGTTGCTCTTACCTCTCATGTTATGAAATGTCCTAACTTTCAATAATTCTGCAAGCTTTTATCCAGTGACTAAATAAATTTGATAGTATGTTTATACTTCTTTTAAGCATTATATAAAGGTACCATTAAGGGAGGCTGAGATCTTAAGTCACTGTATTTACTTTTTAGTAAAAAGTTCAGGAAATATTCCTGCCATGAATACATCTCAAAAACAACCTGCATGTCTACAAGTGTGTTCAGTGTGAGAATTTTGTTCTCTGAAAATTCAAGGCCCAATTTATGCCACAAAATGGTCAAGGACACACGAAATGATTCTAAAGTTTCCATTCTAAATAGAAAATGGCAAAAACTATGCACAGTGCATTTTTAAAAGACAATTAAAAACATAAAGGCTGCACTGTTTCTTAACAATGTTCCAGAAGCACAGTAAAAATTAACTTAGAAAACCATGTCTCAGTTTGATACATTTGTTTGAACTGATAAGTAAAATATATATACATTTATATTATAGATCTTATTTATAAGGCTATACATAAACAGATGTGTATATACATGTGCGCGCACACACAGGCAGCACTCAAGAAGGACTGATTATTGATTAGGAGAGGGTAGATGAGATTGAAAGATGACAAAATATTATCAACATTATCAATTTTCCCTTTCTTATTCCAAAAGTGGCTGAGACTCTGATGTATAAAACTGTACCGGTTGAGTGAAACAAAAGGATTTGGGGGGTTATTTACTGGGAGTGTGTTGGGCTAAGCAAATTATAAACAGGGCTTCCAGTCGAGGGTGATCATACTCACCCGTCTTCCACATGCTGGTGTAAATGTGGCCTTTCCATGGTGTGGAGATAAAGGGAGTCTGTTGTCTTAATCTGGCATGCTTGGATGCTCAGATACTTGAATATGTGCACTTTGCCCTTGGTGCAAATCTAAGGGGAAAATAATAATAAGTAGCTCCTTTTTTAAAGACAAAACAAAATGCAAACATCAGACATCTCATTCCGTATGTCTTAGCTTTGCATTTTCACTTTAAGTAATATGTCAACAACAATCACCAAAATTGATGTCTCCAAAACAGGTAAGATTTAAAGGCAATCACCGCCTCCAAATTCTACCTGAATAGGAGACTGTGCTCAAGAAATTTCTAGTTTCTTTGCACTAAACTGCAAAATTTTAACAGAAATATATTTATGTACAAAGAGTGTAAAAAGTATGTATGCCATATGACTGACCCAGAAATGTTCCAATTTTGAAAGCATATACATTTAATTTTGTTCTCACATAGTTTAATATTTGAGCTTGAATCTTGTTTCTAAATGACTGACAATCATATTTTAAAATGGTCAAACTCCATTTTTCAGCTAACTTTAAAAGACACTATTACTCCTTTCGTAAACCATACACTCCAGAAAAAGTTTCAAACGCACGCACAAATGATCAATGCAACTGAGTTAAGTGAAATAATCAAATATCAGAATTCTGGAGTTGCAGTGACCAGAACAGCGAGGCAAATGCTGGTAAACAACCTGATGTCACAGAAGATGACATATTGTAGTCAGATGTACCCGAGGTTTCAGTTTTTAAAAAACTGTGTTTATGATCATGTCTCATAGATTAACTCTGCAGAATATTAAAAAAAAAAAAAAAACACGGTTCTGCTGAGAGTTGCTTAGGTGCTATTGATAGCATACCCCCCGACCCCCAGCAGCAACAATTTTGCTGTGAGACCCCTCACCTGTGCTGGAGGAGACTGCAGAGGGTTATTCTCAAGCAGTAATACTTGCAGCTGTTTCATCTCTCTAAAACAAATGGGAATCACGAGCACTTTATTGCAGGAAAAGTCAAACTTTACCAAGGGAAGATCTACTAGTTCTAAAAGAACAGGAAAAAAAGAAAAAAAAAACTCAGAAAGCAACAAGATTAAGTGGCTAAACATTCAAAACTTTTCTGCTTATCAGGAGATATATCATTTAGCATAATTAAAATCAAGTTGTGCATGAGGAATATACATTATGTTTATATTGCATTGACCAAAAAATCCGTTTCGGTTTAAGCAAAACTAAAAGACATGATTTTCATTTTCATCAAGAACTTTATTGAACAACATACTCAGTAATCAAACAAACTTTTTGGCCAACTCAATATAACATTTTACTAAAGAAGAGAGGAAAGCTTTCACTGGGGGCCCAAAAGTTTTAATCTATTGTTAGTTCTGATAAGAGCTGCAAATGCTATACATGTACATCTATTGTTTAAAAAGGCTTTTTTCCCAGCAAAACAATCACATAAGCCACACCACACCAAGATATGCTTATGTTTTAACTTCCAACTGTTTTCAAACAGCTTGCTAGCTTATGAATAACATGCTAATTATAACATATCCTTATGTATTCTGTGTATGTGGGTTGGCAGAATCTCAGAACGAGTTACTAGAAATATGTTCATGATTGTTTAACACCACTTTAAAAAATAAATGCTATCAAATTTGGAATTTTGCAACAGACCCTGTAATTCTGATTTGATCAGGTTTTATTCTACTGCTTTAAAAGAAGTCTTCTGTAGCTCCACAAACAAGACACAACATTATATTTAGCATAAAATCCCCACCCAGCGGCATAGCAAACACTCAGTAATTTCAAGCATTCCAACCGACATTGGCAGCTGCAAGAAAGGAACTCAAATGTATTCCATAGAGCAAAGAGGCTGAGCAATGCCAGACATGTAGGGTGACACGGGGCAAATCACTAAGATCTCTGTATGAGAGGCGACAGAGGGTTCATTTCAGAAGGGGCCTCGCCACGTTTGTTATGAAATCTGGTAAGGGGTGATACGCGGTGCTTTCAAATACTCAAGCAGATGAAGGCCAGGGACTATAGGAAGAAGAGGAACCAAAGGCAGAGGTCTTGAGAAAGTATTCCTAAGAACACTATCCCTCCACTCCCCCTGTAGTGCCTGAGGGTTTTCACATTACTCAGCTAGGCTACTTCACTTTCCACCAACAAAGGCTCACTTAGCAACCAGTCCCTTTTCAGAGGTCAACTTACTCTGGGTGTGGTCAACTTACTCTGGGACATTCCCTCTTGCATACCTTAGTGAATTGCTCTGTATTAAAGAAAAGAGTCATGAGACTGAAATGCAAGGACAGTGGAACAAAATCGTTACTCAGCAGCTTCCAAACTCAGGTCCATGACAGGCAGGCAGTTGTGTAAGAGAAACCCAGGATGTGTGTTTTTTTATTGGAATACAGTTGATTTACAACGCTTGTATTAGTTTCAGAGGTACAGCACAGTGATTCAGTTATACATACATATGTATGTATGTGTAAGACCCTGATGCTGGGAAAGATTGGAGGCAAAAGGAGAAGGGGGCAGCAGAAGATGACACTGGTTAGACAGCATCACTGACACAACGGACATGAACTGGAGCAAACTCTGGGGGATGGTGGAGGGCAGGGGAGCCTGATGTGCTGCAGTCCACGGGGTCGCCAAGAGTCAGACACGACTTAGTGACTGAACAACTACTATGTGTAACTCTTTTCCTTTATAGTTTATTACAAGATATGGAATATAGTTCCTGGTGCTATATAGCAGGGCATACACACACAGATATAATAGTGTGTATCTGCTAGTCCCAAACTCCTAATTAATCCCTCCCCCTGTCCCCTCTGGTAACCCTAAGCTTCTTTTTCATGTCTGTGAGTTTATTTCTGTTCTGTAAATAAATTCATTTGTATCTTTTTTTAGATTCCACATATAAGTGATATCATAAGATATTTGTATTTCCCTGTCTGACTTCACTAATCTCTAGGTTCAACCATGGTGCTGCAAATGACATTATTTCATTCTTATTCACGGCTGAGTAATATTTCATTGTATAAATGCACCACATCTTCTTTATCCATTCCTCTGTTGATGGACAGTTAGATTGCTTCCATGTCTTGGCTATAGTAAATAGTGCTGCTGTGTGCACCCACTCCAGTGTTCTTGCCTGGAGAATCCCGGGGACTGGGGAGCCTGGGCGGCTGCCGTCTATGAGGTCGCACAGAGTCGGACACGACTGAAGTAATTTAGCAGCAGCAGCAGCAGCAGCTGTTATGCACATTAGGGTGCATGCATCTTTGCTAATCAGAATTTTTGAATTCTAATTCAAGCTGGATGTGTATTTTTTTAAATTGCCCCCAAGGAATTCTCTGCTCAGACCCATCTCTCCAACCAATAGCAGGATAAGTGATTTTCCTCAGGCCTCACTTGTCCCGGTTGCCTTGATGAAGTGCCTGGACAGCAGTGGGAGGTAGACAGGAGGTGAGCCCTGGGACAGCATGGAATCAAGAAACTTAAAGGAAGAGCTCTTTCCACCTCACAGTTTGTTTCTAAAAACAGAGCTGACAATTAGGGGGACTATGTATAAGTAGAATATCTCTTTGCTGTAACTTCCAGTAGTATGAATCCATCTCTCCAATGGTTGACTCAACTCTCGCCAAGTTAGCCTGGCAAATCAGGATAGTTTAACCGGACTCTGCTCTTCAACAAATTGCCACTTAAAATGAAGACTTTAAAGCAAGACTAGAGAGCTAATCTCATAGTATTATGAGATACTATGAAGACATACTATGAAGACATAGCAGAAGGGGAAAGAAGGTGACTTAAGAAAAGATGGTTTTTATAATGACTATTCCTTTTAGTGCCCGTTGGGGACACAATTACCATCTTAGTTTAGGAATGCTAGAACCCGATAGTTTCACAACAAGGAAATGGAAGAGAAAATAGTAACTCTGCTCAGAAAAGGTCAAAAGAATAGGAAAGGTGGGGGGGGGGGGCGGTAACAAAGAGCAACAGTGAATCCCACTCCTCTCTCCATTGCAAAGAGGAGCAATGAATGACTGCCTTAATACTCTGTTCTGGTCCCAGAAAGTACGAAGAAAGAGTCTCCCGGTTGCATGAGGAAAAACACCATAAAACGGATCTGGGCAATAAGGCCACAAACCTTTCCCCTCCTCCTCAGATTGAAAGTATACGAGGAAGGATACTAAAGAGGAAAAGTAAATGAGTAAATACTAAAAGTCTTTAAATTCACTGCCTCAGAGCATTATCAATGCTCTTTTGTTAACAGAGAGTTCTCCGGAGTGAAGCAAAAAGAAACTTGATATTCAGGAAATTATTTTTTTAAAAAGATTTTCCAGTAAACTAAAGTTTTAGCTCTTAGTGTTTATTAAAATATGGAATCTGAGAAAACAGAATTATGGAAAGCATAGGAATTTGTAACTGATCTTTTTAGAAGGAATGCTTTTAAGTTAAGAGCACAAGGAACAGTTTCAGAAACAAATCTCTTGATTTTACAGATGCACTTTCTTCCCTCATGTTTCTATTACAGAAAACTGTTAAATGATTAAACTTAAAAAAAAAAAGAGTTCAATAATTTGTAATGATTTCTCAATAATTAACATAACAGCTTAAGTTTAAATGAAAGTTTTCCTTAATGCTATGAAAGGTTATATGCTTATAGATTTCCTGTCTATATAATAAAGAGTTTTTCCTTCGTACTTGCTCAAACCAAGAAAACAATTTCATCCACTGAAAAGCAGAACTGCATAATGACAAGATGATAAATCACTGTTTTTATGCCAAATCATCTCAAGTAATAAAGTGATAAATCTTTATGCTAAGTTTCTAATTTTCTTTCTTTAAAATACTAGTCAGGATGAGAAAGGTGAAGATGGAAGATACACTTCAAGCAGATGACATTTTATAAAGTTCTTTCCCTTTCATGAGCTCCATTTTCTTGCTTTGAATAACGAAGCATTTCAAGCCAAAGATCATGAAGCAGGAACAGAATAATAAAAATCAGGCAGTTCTAAAATAGCTGTGTGAGGGTCAGATTAACCAAATGCTGACTGTTTCCAAATATACACTTTAGCTTTGAGGTATATTTGCAAACGTAAATTTGAAATTGGGCATGCCTCGTGTGCTCAAATGAAAATGACAGAAACCAGTGTCATCTTGGAAACCAGAGTATGTTCTGGAGAAAGCATTCAATGTTACATTGTTCATCAACTCATCCCTGATTTATGGCCAAATGAGGATCCCAAAATGTGAAATTCAGATCCAGCACCACCTACAAGGCTGCTTATTAAAGTTCTTAATGGCCTAACACTTCTGAATAAATATATCTCTTTAATTTTTTATTTATTTTTATTTATTGAAGTACAGTTGACTGACAATTTTTTTTCCTATTGGGTATCTTTTCACTTGAACTTCAACACAACATCATATCAGAGGGCACAATATGGAAGCCCAGAGATGCAGAGAAACGTTTGCCTGAGTCTGGCTATCTGCAGGGCTCCGAGTTCGTGCTGTGTCTCTGGGGACCTGAGTCTCCATCCTTGCTCCAGGCTTCAAGAAATTCATCAAAACAACCAGAGCTAGGGGTCCAAATTTCACTTCAGCGGGGGCACACCCTCTCCTGCAGTGTGGATCTGAGACACAAGGTGCTCCCTGGATCTGCAGGACCAAGCACCGCAACTAAGTGTTGGCCGGACAGTTGAGGACATCACAGGTCCACACCAACAGCAACTCATGTTGCCTCCTGATAGGAGCTGGACTGTGTGACCCCCAAACTCCTATGTCGGAACCGTGACCCGCCCCCTGCCGCCCAGTTCCTCAGAATGTAACTGTATTTGGAGGCAGGCAGGGCCTTTAAAGGGTAGGTGAGTTGATGGGGTTATTAGGGAAGGAGGGTCCTAACCCAATATGATGGGTGTCCTCACAAGAAGAGGAGGTTAGGACACACACAGTGGGAAGTTGGCATGAAAATGCAGGGAGTCAAGGAGAGAGGCCTCTAAAGAAACAAAACTGACCAACACTATGATCTCAGACTTACAGCTTCCAAACTGCAGGAAAATATATCTCCATTGTTTAAGTCACGTCTTTGGTACTTTGTTATGGCAAACACCACACACACACACACGTAGCTTTATACAGGGGAATGATTTTGTCACTGAAACCCTTGACTAAAATTACAACATGAATGTAACTTCTCTGTTATCTACACATGAAATTCAAATTATAATTAATATTAATAGGTACACACAAACATGACTGGATTTACCTTCACAAAGATTATTAAAAAATAATAAAAGTCTTCTGTTGGATTCATTTTTCCCTCTATTTTTTTTTTTACCTTGTGGTAAAACCTTAAGGTAATTTCTTCTGACATTCAGTTCTCGTAGGGATTTCAACTGCCCTATCTGCTGAGGCAGAGCTGTGATCTCGTTGCAGCTGACGTCCTGCATCGCAAACAAAAAGAGAAACAATAAAGGCCTTTCGCTGGGAAATCAAGCATTTCAGGGGAAATCTCGTTAAGGAATTTAAATATTAGGATAACTATACAGGTACATTTTTTTATTGGTCTCCAGGTCTGAGGCCAAGTGAGGCTAAGCACAGAGAAAAAGAAGAAAGTACAATGTTTTAAATACATCCTCTGGGGAGAGAAAAGGTAAAAAGAGGCGTTAGTAGCCTTTTGTAGCTACTCCCGGGCTGCTGCATTCACGTGCTTCAGTCTTACTTAATTCTCACAACAAATCCATGGGACAGTATTACTGGCCTAATATGCACAGATGAGAAAAATGAGGCCCAGGAAAGTTCTGTCAATTGTCCAAGACTTGCAGAGTAAACACTCAGAACCAATTCCCAACCCATTGTTCAGCCACTACCCTACCTCACCAGACACTCACAATTTACAGCATATAACTATGTATATTAATGCATTGTTTAGATACATTATTTATTTTAAATTTAATTCTTATCAGAAGGTTGAAAACTTTGGACTGGAACATGTTTATAAACATTTACAAGCAAGACTGTGGAGGATGGAGACTGTGTCTTCTCTGCCTTGGAAAAAATAATACTCCACTGGTAATCAACAAAGGTCCACCTAGTCAAAGCTATGGTTTTTCCAATAGTCGTGTATGGATGTGAGAAATGGACAATAAAGACAGCTGAGCGCAGAAGAATTGACGCTTTTGAACTGTGGTGTTGGAGAAGACTCTTGAGAGTCCCTTGGACTGCAAGGAGATCCAACCAGTCAATCCTAAAGGAAATCAGTCGTGAATATTCATTAGTAGCATTGGTGCTAAAGCTGAAACTCCAATTCTTTGGCCACCTGATGCGAAGAACTGACTCACTGGAAAAGACCCTGACGCTGGGAAAGATTGAAGGCGGGAGGAGAAGGGGACATAGGATGAGATGGTTGGATGGCATCACCATCGTGATGGACATGAGTTTGAGTAAGCTCCAGGAGTTGGTGATGGACAGGGAAGCCTGGTGTGCTGCAGTCCACGGGGTGGCAAAGAGTCAGATACAACTGAGCGACTAAACTAAATTGAATCATTGATGAGAATAACCTCGACACATGCAAAATGGTGGCCATGACATCTTTAACCTTCTATCGTATTATCATCCCTAATCGCACTCTTCCTCTTGTCCCTGGTAGCTCTGCCCTGCTTTCCACCTCCCTCACCCCAGCTACCCCCTTAGTCCAGACCAGCAGTATCTCTCAGCCAGACACTACAATGGTCTCCTGGTTGTCTGCAAGCATCAAGCTCCTCCTTGGATTCATCTTTCACACAGTGAAGATTTACAGAGTGTGAGCTTCACTGTGTCATCCACCAGCTCAAACATCTGCAGCAGCTCCTTAGAAACTCTAGGATAAAGTACCAAACTCAAAACCACTCAATTGTTTGCCTCCTCCTGTAAGCCCGCAAGCTCCTAGATGGAAGAGACTATTTCTTAGCCACTTTGATCTCCTGGTGCCAAGCAGAATGCCAGGTAGAAAGTACAAGATCAATAAATATTGGATAAAACGTCTTAAGCTGCTTTATGTTGATGCTCCATGATGCTGCAGTTTATTCTGTCTCTGGCTGGGAGCCCAGGAGGCCCCAATATACACACCAAATTTCTTGCAGGTCCTGCTTGATGTCACAGAACCATAGGTATATTTGGACTACAAATGATCCCAATGAGATCAAGTCCATAAACATCCCACACCACTGCTGAATCTACAAAAATAATCCCCCTTTGCTCCTCCTTTTAGAAGGAACAAAGCCTCATTTCATAATCACTTACATGAGAGGAACTCATTGACCAGTTCCCTGAAAGCTCCAGGCTCTGTGTAAGAGCAGGGCTGCACAGAACACAGTGGATCGCTGTCCTCTGGTCCCATCTCTTCTCAATATCCTCAGGTGACCTGCCAATCTGTCATGGTCATGAAGGTGTTACATGGATATTACTTGATGAAAAGGAATACCATCACTCGTACTGAAGGCATTTAAGCTGTGATCTATGAAGTCTGGGCACACACGCTGGAATCAGCCCGCCACGCTGTTCTGCACTCCGCGTTCTGACTTGGGGTTGAGGTGGGGGGCTGGCACGTGACAGGTTAAGAACATTAGATGTTCGATGGCATCACCCCCGAGCGAGCTGTTGCTGCATTGCTTCTGGCCCAGAAAAGTCACACCAAATTTTATGAAAGGCTTCCCTAATGTTAAAAAAACAAAAAACCCACAAGCACATCTGCAGAGACATAAAAGTCTAAGGAAGTAATTACATAATTAGGAGGTCCAGAGATTGGCTCAGTCACTCTTACCCCCTCAGTGAGTCAGTAAATTATTCTGCCTTTCTGAATATACGTCCATGTATGAGAAGTGAAAAGTGAAATGCCATCTTCTGCCAATTACAACAGCATCTCATCAGCCATAGAAGTCAATAACCAGACCCATGCAGTGGAAGTTTTATCTTTCTTTGCTTCAACCAAGTTACAAATTCGCACGAAGTACCATTTTAAAATCTAACAGTCCTCACACAAATGGTACACAGGTGAGTCCTAGAAATATATGAAATTAAATTATTTTATTGGACTCAGGATCAGGCACAGATTGTTGATGGTCATGAAGGAAGAATCAGTGAGATTATTTTCCTACCTCTAAGGAGAATTTATGTTGACATCTGAAATTTTTTTATAAGTCTATGAGTGATAGCATGAGAAAGACACTTTTGCAGAAGATGGGAACTGCAGATTTTTCAATGTGAAACTGATGATTTTGAGAAGTTTCAAACACATAATTTTTTTTTAAATCTTTCTCTTAAAACAAGAGAGTTGGGAGGGGCAAGCCAAGAGAAAACAGATATATTTAGGCAGCATTATGAAATACTCTGAGATAAAATGCATTTTTATTCTATTTTTTTCCTGTATACTATATTCACTTTGCACGTTGTTGATTACTGCTGGTTAAGTCATGAAATTAGAGTCTGCTATTTCCCTAAGTTTCCCTAAATATAGATAATTTTTCCAACATATATTTCTAAGTGGCTTTATCAAAGAAAGTAGACTCCCCTCAGCTATATTTAAATACTTACTTACCAGGAGGGAAAATGCTTTCTTAATTTATTTTTTTAAAGAACTTCACATAATGTTAACAACAAGCTTTTCCTTCTAACTTACGAGACAGAACATCTGTAGACCATTAGAAACACAAAGTCCAATTGTCCATTCACATTTTGAAGGGTATATGATGAAGGTCAAATTATTTTAATAATACTCTGCACTGCCATCAGTTACTTCCTGTTCTGCCAAAATAATGAGGGGAAAGCGAGATAAAGACTTTTCACTCTTGTATGATCAATACTGCAAAAACTGTGCTAACCTCTTCTTTCTCAGCTACTAAACCCTGCCAAGTTTTAAAGAGGTTATGAATTTTGCTGCAAAAATAAAACCACATAGGTAATTATGTCTTAATTAGTTGGGGAATGAGGAGGAGGACAAAGAGGAAAATAGTCTAGATGTTTTTGGATAGGATACTTCAGGTTAGAAAAAAAAGCAACATTCCTAGAATAGCTTGGTTCTTTAGAACATGTCTTTCCCCATTTGGTCTAAAAGAAAGTATGTTTTTTTGTTTTTGCTTTTTTAGCGGGGAGAGTTCATTTTTAAAAGATCTGATTTAATAAATAAATTTTAAAAATAAACAACATTAATGCCCCATATGGCTGCAATAGTGATAATTTATCAAGTTATGAGTTCTAGAACCAGTAGCTTCTTCAGATAATCAAATGAATCCCTTCTGAATTATCTATTAGCCCTAAGCTATGTCCTGCAGAATAATTATTGCAAGCTAGAGTGAAACCAAATTACCATACATTTAGCATTATAATATTGTAAATATATAGAAAGGCCCAAAAGCAAAAATCTTAAGTGTATCATAAATATTTACTAATTCTATTCTTTTTGGAACAGAAATGAATCTAATCATTACGCATTACATAATCACATAAACACTCAAACTTACGTTTTATGGGCCAGCCAATTTTCTCATTTAGATTAAAAAAACAAAGAACTTCAGCAATGACTTAAAATACACGTATTTTCGGCTGGTTTAATCAAAATGCTCTGAAACAACCCAAAGAAAGACTTTAGAAGTTAAGATTCTCATTCATCACAACCCTTCTGGGCAATTACCAAAAAAGTCTCTAGAAAGGTTAAATGCATGTTCCAGATTAATACATTTTAGCTGACTGACTGCTAGTCGCAAACTTACCTTCAGAATGCAAAAATGACAAGGATTTAAAACATTAGCGTAGGTTCAAAATTATTAAAGCAGGAAAGGTTCATTTTCAGAATATAACATTTTTAGAAAGACTAGACCTGTTTTTTCAAGTTGTAACTTCTAATGAAAGCCAACATAATAAAGTGTGTCAAGATGATTTTTGGTTAGAGAAGGTTTCCAGGGAGACCAGGCTACACTGCAGAACTGCATGTGGTATTCTCATGAGCTATCTTCCCCTGACTCTTGGGTTTTCAAAATCTTAGTGCTGTTATACTATGGCTTAAGTCATATTTTAAAATCTAGCTCTTTATTTAACAGAAGAAAATGCGAACATTCTAACAGGAAATACAAGCTATTAATACTAGTGGCCTCCCATCATGTGACCATATCCTTTTGTGGAAATGTCTTTGTGTGACTTCCACTGTGCAACTTGAGGTCAATATCTTAACCTCTCTGTTCCTATGTAAAAAGAAGAGATGAGATTATAGATCACTTTAATTTCCTTACAACATCAGGAAAATCCTCCTACCACATTAGAAATAATGAAGAAATTTGTTGAAAGACAGATACTTAACTGACTTAGGAGTAATGTTAATTTTGATTTTTCAGCAATCAAAAATCTAAAAGCCTGTAGTAAGAACTTTTCAAAACAAATTGGTATGTTCATTTAAATTCAAAAATTCTTCAAG